TAGCATGTAGGTTAATGGTAAAAGACACCAAATTTAAATAGTGGAATAGGAGAAAAACATGACATGACAAGTATAATACTTATTCATTAACTAAAAAGGAGCTGATAAAAATTTAAATTTAAATTAAAAGCATAAGTTAAAACAAAATCACCTTATGTTAGGAAATTAGAAAGACACTTCAAATTAAGGGGGCAACTTAGATAAAAAGCAATAATAAAAGAATGTTTAAATAAATTGTATAAAAAAAAATAATTAAAGGTACAGACATAAAAATTCATAAAAAATTGTGTAAATCAAAATCTGCATTAAGGCCATGGGGTATAAGAGTCTGAAGTTTATACACCCATTCCATCTCTGTTTTACCAAGTAACTTTTTTATATCACCTCCTCGCCAAGAGGTAGAACATTTTTTTATACCAATACACTTTAATAAACGAGGATCTTTATTGTGCATAATAAAATGTTTGGATACTGTATGATTTAGGTATCCATTTTTAATATTTCTGCAATGTTCGCTTAGTCTTATCTTTAGGCACCTTGTGGTCATCCCCACATATTGGAGGCCACATGGGCACTCAAGCAGATAGATAAAAAATTTTGTATGGCAGCTTATAAAATCGTGAATATCATACACTTTTTTGGTTTGGTTTGACATAAATTTTGTAATTTTTGATGAAAAGACATGATCCACAGTTTTACATACAATGCATTGTTTGCATCTAAAAAAAACTTTTGTCTGAGGAAAAAATTATACATTTTTTAAAGGAGATTTTTTTTGTAAAATTTGTAGTTAAACTAGATTTAAAATTAGGTGCTCCTCTAAAAACAATGTTTGGATGAGTAGGTATGATAGAATTGAGTATCTCATCGTGTTTAAGTAGGTGCCAATGTTTTCTTATTATTTTTTTGACATCGTTGCTTTTATTATTAAAGTTAAAAATAACTGGAAGTGATATAGTTTCATTATTTTCTTTATTTTTATATATCAAAAGATCTTTTCGTTCTTTTTGTTTGACTGTATTAATTGTGATATTCAGATCTGGTTCTGAGTAATTTTTTTCAATAAATTTATTTTTTAAAAACTCTGCTTGTTCATTAAAATCTGTGAGTTCTGAGCAATTTCTGCGAATATTCATGATATTGGTTGCCAAGCTATTAAAGAAATTTTAACTCAAGAAGCTAGGATTCCCGATATTCAAATAGATTTTATAATAGAAGGTATCAACATTATTTTAAAAAATAATTACTTCTGGTTTTTAGACTCTTTTTATTTACAAAGAAGAGGCAGTGCTATGGGGACTAGGTTTGCCCCTAGTTACGCCAATTTGTTTATGGCTGACTGGGAAAACGAAGCCATATGGGGCAACCATATTTGGCGGGCAAACCTAGTCTCCTATTTCAGATATATAGATGACCTTTTTTTTATTTGGGATGGACCTGAAAAACATCTTATTGATTTTATTAATTATTTAAATACTAATAATAGGGGCATCATCCTTACATACGAATTCAGCAAACAATCTATTAATTTTTTAGACTTAAATATTTTTATTAATAATGGGCAACTCCAAACAAAAACTTATTTAAAAAAAGTATGTGTTAACACGGCCATTGACAGGTCTAGCTGTCACTATAAGCCGTGGCTAGAAAGTGCCCCGAAAAGTCAGTTTTTACGCCTTCGCAGAAATTGCTCAGAACTCACAGGGTCAAATATTTTTACATTGAAAATGGCAAAGTTGGTTATGTTGCCTTTGAGAGTGTATGGTAGCCCAGGAATGAGAATTACCCCCATGATGGCATACCATTTGCAAAAGAAGACAACCCAAGGTATTGCAAATGGGGTATGTCCAGTCTTTTTTAGTAACCACTTGGTCACAAACACTGGCCAAAATTAGCGTTCAATTTAGTTTTTTTACTTTTTTCACACACAAACAAATATGAATGCTTACTTTGGCCAGTGTTTTCGACTAAGTGGCTACTAAAAAAGACTGGACATACCCCATATTGAATACCCTGGGTTGTCTACTTTAAAAAAAATATGTACATGTGGGGTGTTATTCAGAGATTTATGACAGATAATAGTGTTACAATGTCACTATTGATAAATTTTAAAAATGTATGTTTTGAAACCGCAATATCCTACTTGTACCTATAGCCCTATAACATGCAAAAAAAAGCAAAAAAGCACGTAAACACTAGGTATTTTTAAACTCAGGACAAAATTTGGAATCTATTTAGCAGTTTTTTTCATTCGCTTTTGTAGATGAGTAAAAGATTTTTCAAGTAAAAGTCAAAAAACATGTATTTTTTCAATTTTTCATCAGATTTTTGTATTTTTTTTAAATTAAAATACATGAGATTATATAAATAATGGTATGTAAAGAAAGCCCCTTTTGTCCTGAAAAAAACAATATATAATTTGTATGGGAACAGTAAATGAGAAAGCGGAAAATTACAGCCAAACACAAACACCACAAAAGTGTAAAAATATGCCTGGTCGCAAATGTACAACATCGCAAAAACAGTCCAGTCCTTAAGGGGTTAAACATTCTTTTATTATTGCTTTTTATCTAATCTGCCCCCTTAATTTGAAGTGTATTTCTAATTTCCTAACATAAGGTGATTTTGTTTTAACTTATGCTTTTAATTTAAATTTAAATTTTTATCAGCTCCTTTTTAGTTAATGAATAAGTATTATACTTGTCATGTCATGTTTTTCTCCTATTCCACTATTTAAATTTGGTGTCTTTTACCATTAACCTACATGCTATATTCGAAACTATCATTCCCATAAGACATTTCGGCTATTATTGCCGAAAATCACGTGACCGCTTTAAAAGTGTTTTTTGTAATTGGTAGCCCCTTCGTTTTATAACTTTATTATTTGCCACCACACTATATTAACCTGGGCAACTTAATAAGTCTGTTTGTGAGACTTTTAAAACGGCTGCCGCTTTTGACTACATTTCCCATGCGGCATAGCGGCGGAACCTCAGAAACCCGGAAGTGCCGCCGGTCACGTGACTCTTTCAAACTGCTCTAAACTATACTTTCTTACTTTCGTTTTAAATCTAACCATATTTTAATCAAGTTGTATAACTACTAAATATGTGTAGAAGAAGTTATTTTTGTATTTTAAAGTTGTATATATGCTTTTAATTTTGATTGGACGAACTAAGTTTTGGCGCCAAAATTCAATCAATTATGCTCCTATATAATCTCTATGTGCCAGGTAAATCATGTTAATCCATTTGATAAAGTCCCTTTGTGACAAAACGCGTTATGGATATTTGAATATTGTGTTTTTTATATATATTAAAGTATTTTTGGTCATTTGCTTGTGCCAATTATCTTTTTATAGACACATATCTTTCTTTTTACCCTGGCCTTTTTATTGTTATTTTAATTATTTTTAATGGTTTTAAAAAAACCTACAAATTCCTGGAAGTTTCCTGTACCCAAAGAAATCCGTAGGTGGGGATCAATCCACCCAAGCCATCACTAAAGAGCAGTGGGTCTGCTCTTTCTTTGTAAGTACATTTCTTTTATTATTTTATTATTATCTGCCATACAGTGAGCACTATTGGGTGTTTGTTTTATCCCGAGAATTGGATACCATTCACGGAGAGGAACCTGCTATATATCCCACAAGCGGGGATTAAACCGCTGTACGCGCTTTACTCCAGAGCTGGACATTAGCTCTGGTAAATGTGAGTTTTATACTATTATTTTTACGTCTATACCTGTATTTTACATACTACACCATTGGATGTCCCTTTTTCCCTCTTTTTATTTTTCATAACGAGTGAAACCACCACAAAAATAGAAGACCCCACCAACCAAGGACACCTGTAAGAATATACCAGTTGGACTTTCTCTCTCTTTTTTCCTTTTATTGGACTCTATTTTACGTGCGCAGCCTTTTATTGTCTTTATTTTATCTTGTTTTATAGGGTTTGAGGGATTCCCTTTTTAAGGTTGCTGCAATAAGTTATTTAGCGCTGTCTCATTCCTTTTATTTACCGTAATGTAAACACTGCCTTTTCTCTGAAAAGGCAGTGTTTACATTAAACAAGCCTGCAGGGACAGTAAAATGTATTACAACGATGATATCGTCAGTGAAAGTGAACATTTTTCACACACAAATGGCACTTACACTGACGATATAATTGTTGTGATGTGTTACTGTTTTGAAACACTATTGTGTTCAGCAAAGTCTCCCGAGTATAACAGTACCCCTCATGTACAGGTTTTATGGTGTTTTCAAAAGTTAGACTCAAAAATAAGGCTTGCCTTTGAGTTTTTTCACATTGAAATTCGCCAGATTGGTTACGTTGCCTTTAACAACCCAAGGTATTGCAAATAGGGTATGTCCAGTCTTTTTTAAAAGCCACTTAGTCACAAACACTGGTCAAAATTGGTGTTCAAATTAGTTTTTTGCATTTTTCACACACAAACAAATATTAACACTGACTTTGGCCAGTGTTTGTGACCAAGTGGCTACTATAAAAAAAGACTGGATATACCCCATTTGCAATACCTTGGGTTGTCTACTATTGCAAATGGTATGCCATCATGGGGGTAATTTTCATTCCTGGGCTACTATACGGTCTCAATAGCAACGTAACCAATCTGGTGAATTTCAATGTGAAAAAACAAATGCAAGCCTTATATTTGACTCTAACTTTTGAAAACACCATAAAACCTGTACATAGGGAGTACTGCTTTACCTGTGACACATCGCTGAATAGAAATGTGTATTTTATTGCATTAAAAGCAAACAGTATTATGACATTCAGTTAAAATGTCATGTAGAACTAAAAAAAATAAATCTTATTTTCTCCCATTTTTATTTTATATTTTATTCATATTAAATTATGTTTCATAGCTAAATATCTGATGTTAAATGAAAGCCCTGTTTCCCCTGAATAAAATTATATATATTAAGTGTGGGTGCACTTAATATGAAAGAGGTGAATTACGGTCGAACAGACATATAGTCAAATTCCAGGTTTTATTTATGTTTTGCTTTGATCACAACGTGTACATTTGGCTCAGTCCTTAAGGATTAACATTGCTAAATTTTTATTTTTTATTTTAAAGCATTCTAAGTTTACAGCATACCACACCTGACTAAAATGTTTGCACAATAGTGTGTGTAACTATATAAAATTTCACGCAACGCAACCATTACCCTGGTGAATAGAAATTCAGTCTTGACAAGTGAAGTCAGTCTTTTTTATGGTGTTGGAAGGAAGAAAAATTAGCAAACAAAAAGATCTGAGTCACTTTGACATGTGCCAAACGGTGATGGCTAGATGACGGAGTCAGAGCATCTCCAAAACAGCAAGTCTTCTGTGGAGTTCCAGTATGCCAAAGTTAGTACCTACCAAAAGTGGTGTAAGGAAGGACAACTGGTGAACTTGCGTCATGGTCAGGAGCTCTCAAGACTTGTTAATGCACGTGGATAGACTGGGGAATGTATGTCCTTATTCTACCTGTAGTTAAATGTCCCCCTACCGCAGACTACATGGAAGTTATCTGTGTATTGACACAGATTAATTTATCCCCATACTTACAAGGAAAGCATCACGAATAATGCAGCATGGAGGTTAAAAACACGATCTACCCATTGAAATAACCAACAAACAATGTTAAAAGAAATAGGGCTAGCAGCACATGAAATGAGCTTAAGGAGAAATAAAGGATTGACATTTATACACAACATCAAGATATTCCTTTAGTAGTCATGATTCAGGAACTGCAGTGTGCCACGTATTGTTCCATATATTTTATTTGCCAGGTGACAAACTCCACAAATGAGAGACAAATACATGTAACATTAATTGCATGGACAACATTTATTGTCAAGCACAATTTCAACAATTTGAAGATGTAACCGTTACAGAAAGGAAAGCCTGATGCACAGCACATTCAAAACTGTATATTTTGGTTACATTAGGACATTTAAATTGGGACAATCCCTGAATGCAACCTTTTTTTAAAACAGACAGTTACAGAAAATTGAAATTATTCAACTCTTTATTAAAATAGCATTTTTTTTTAACCCCAGAGCAACAAGCAATATTAAATAAAAAAATTTCAATAAATTTCTCACCAAATTTTCATGGAAATAATTTTACAAAATAAGTGGTTTATTCCCTAAATGACAAATTAGCAGAAATGGGGATTTGTTTGTTTAATTCCCAGGTAGCAACTTAAGAATTATTGTCATTGTTACTAACTGAATTCCACTTGTGCTAAACTTGCCAGCTGAGCATATACATGGGTACCTGAAAACCTGTGTGGATCAATAAGCTCATGGTGACATATCCGGATATAAACATCTATTAGGATGTATATAAATATGACATGGTTTCAATTTACAGACAATGCAATTCATCTATGAAGCTTGGTAGCCTCTTTGCTACAACTTACAGCATTTAATTAAAGTGTCGGTCACCTCAAACTTACCTTTCTCCTATTGTATTGTCTTCCTCATTCAGTCTGTCCTTTCTTAACGTCGCATTTATTTTGTTATAAAACAAGACAAAGTATGTAATTTTCATATTTAACAAAGGATGAAGCTTGCCCTCAGCTCCATCCTTTAAGATTTCCAAGTGTAGGAAAAATACAATGAGAAGTTTAAGTTTGAGGTGACAGAGCCACAATAACTATACCCATAATGAGTTTTTCTCCCATAGTTATGTTGAAGCAAATGATAAAATTTAACTGCAGGTATGGAAGACTGCAATTATATCACCCCCAAACCCAAGTGTAGCATCATAATATGCCTACTGTCTGACCATAAGGTAAATAATTATGGGATATGCTTGGCACTGTGGAAGCTTATATCCCCAATAGTTATCACATAGGTTACACTGATTTCCATCAGCCTTTACCTAACTCCCTCTGGACCAACAAACACCAACAGGTATTTTCCCCATGTCAGACTTGAAATGTTTGTTTGAGATTTTCAAAGCAATACATCATGGAAGAAGTTATACATTAAGGGGATCCTAATATACGCATATGTTAATGGCAGTTCTACTTTAAATACATGTAAGCCAGGTTATGCTTAGGGCTACATAAATGCTCCTTATTGGAAGCAAGTTTCATCTATCAAGTTACATAGCTGAAACTAAAGGTTTAGTGAATAAACCACTTATATTTAATCTTCTTTCTATTAATTCTATAATCTTATATTTACAGTGTAATTACCAATATTTTATGTTGTCATTAAAAATGCATAACATAGGAAGCAGCATTCATATAAGAAAGCATTCACATTCATACAAGAACCAAAAATTTAAAATTGGTGTATATCCCACAGCAAGCTGTGTTAGTTCCCCACAAAGAAAGAACATAAAAGATTTGCTTAATCTAAGTGAGAAGGGCCTCCGTGTCATGTCATTCTAAATTATGAATGTTTAACACTGTAAGTGCTTGAGAAGTAACAGCTTTGCTGTATAATATGATGCAATTTAATGGACACAACGTTCAATCCTTTCATGTGAATGGACTAGAAGCACGATGCTTTATAGTATATAGTTTCCTCTCACAGAGTAAAAATAAAAAGCTCTGAACTACCAAACAGCTATAACCTATTCAACAGTCAAAGCAGAAGATGTCCATTGCCTTATACAGTCTGCAAAATGCAACCTGCACAATATGCAAATAGGGTTAGTCGCTAAACTTGGGTTTTGAAGAATTGACATGAGTGCATATTTAGGCCTGCTTAGCAGATCTGGAAATATTCTCCAACTCTCATATTTTTTCAGTTTGGCTACTATGGCCTATCATGTGCCATGTGAAGGTAATTAACAATTACCAATTTTGTGAAGGAACCTATTATATTTAAAGGTTAACTGTGTCAGTTAAACATAACTATATTGTACAAAGATGGAAACAGAAAATGTGCAGTAACTGAGGGAACAAATAATATATAAAGTTCAAAAGCAACTTAATGTATGGTAAAATAAATCCCTATAGCCAACTGGTCTTAAGCCACACCCCTAGAAAAAAAATGATCACATTCTGAAAACATGAGAACCAAGTATCTTAGTGCCTGCAGATACAGAGATAATTACAGCTGCCACTATCCATTCATTATATGCCATAAGATGTTTAAATAACTCAATGTCTTCATAAATATATTGTATAACAAACATTCCATTACCTTGGAAATCAATAAGCATAATGTGTATGTAGTATGCAATGCACTTTTATAGTGATGACTAAAGTAACTGAACAAATTTGCTTTAAGTCTGCAAAACAAAAAGTTATTTTTTGTAATCTATAAACTGAGAACATAAATGACCTTGCTAGTGAGCTTTTCTACAGCAATATATCAGGGTAAAAAAAGCAAACACCCGAATTTCCAGTAATGTGTGTGATCTGTTTACTTCTTAAATTATTTACAATTGCCAGAGTATAGTATGCACAAAATGTCTATTATATGAAAAATAAAATGCAGCATAAGAAAAAAAAGATGTGGGTTTTCCCAACCCCTAAATAAAAAATATTTGCCATATCAGAGAAAACAACTGTCACTTGCAATAAAAGTAAAAAAGTAATCAGAGTGTGTATGCTTGGTTATCTGTAATTCATGCAGACATTAAAACAAAAAAGACCTTAAAGAGGCCTTTCTGACACTGCAGTATAACTTTTCACACGGGCAAAGAACAACGGGGTGTACATCTTGTCAATGTCAAAGGCTGTCACTGCAGTTTCTCCAGTTGATCTGAAAAGAATAGCACAGCAGGCAGAACATTAAGACCAGCACTTCCATAGCCTGTTTATAGAATATTTTTATTTATTTTTAAATGCCAAACCAAAACATAAATACAAACAATACCAGAAACAGAGGTATTGCACACAAAAGATGTTGTATTTCAATGAGAGCAATTGAAATTATTTCCCTGGTTATTCATTGATGCACTAAAATTTATTCCCTGGTTATTCATTGACCAAATCTTCTAGTTAAAGGGATTTTATAGTATTAGAAATACAAATCTGTATCCCTAATACTATAGAGCTCTTTGGTATAGAGAAGAGAACATATAACTCTGTTCTGGGCTGTCTAATGTCAAATCTGTGCATATTTTACATCTAATCAGTGCACACTGCACTCCACTCCATCTATGAGAAGCCAGTGTTTGGACTGTGTGAGAGTGGACAAAAGGGAACATATAGCCCACCCAAAACAACTTATTTTTAGTACTATAGGCTCCCTTTAACATTCCAGTATGGCAAATCAATAACAGACAATATCATCATATAGTTTATTTAAAGAGACAGCTATGAAAGACACACATGCCTCATTCTGTAGGCTGAAAAAAGCAGGTAAATATATATATTTTTTCATATTTAGCTGCTTCTTCTTTATCATGCATCCACACCCACTCCAGGGGGACACTGATTTAACCAGTGTCCTATCTCTAGGAAAGCAGTAAAAGTGCATTGGTCATTCCTGACAGATTTACACATGTTCAGTTGGACGATCTTTTCACCTTAGAACATCCTGTCATCAATGGACTGGTCTGAAACTGAGCTGGGTCTGTAAGGGGATGGGGGTGAAATGCTGAAGAAACTCCCTTAGCTAAGAGGTTAACAAGGAAAACACAAGCATGTTGGAAAGCTTTCTCTACCAGCACTATTTAATTAGACTTAAAGGGAAAACTGATTTATTTTATCACAGGCTAACATGCACAACAAATGCAACTGATAGCTAACTTTTGAAACAGGAGTTGTTCCAGAGAAAATCTGGGAAATGCTGTAGTCATACAAGCATAAAGGTAATAAAGTTGGTTATTTACTTACTTATATGTAATGTGGCAAGAATGATGAATCCAAACTATCTTATTGAATTTATGGCGACCACTTGAGCATATTTGAAGCCCCAGATGAAAGCTGTGGTCAGTTTCCTGAACTGGGGAGCGACGGAAATAGCGATACCTTTGGTATTCTGTTTGTTTCTGTATGGTCCACAGCAAAAGAAATTTAATTAGCCAATAGAAAATATCAGAGGATCATACGATTTTGAACTTTACCAACTATCAATAATAGTATACTAAACAAACAAACAAAATATACCATAATACAATGGAGACTGTGGGGTGTGCCATTAAGACTACAACCAAAACCAGATTTATTTTAATACACACAGATTTTAGTTCAAGTAACCCTTTAATAATGGAAAACAATGGGATATATTTCAGCCCCCAATTGCTTATAAAAAGTTCCCACTGTTTCCTCAAAAATGACCACACATATATTGCAGCCAAAACTTTACAAACACTATTACTTAGAAAAAATATATAAAACTCTTGTATCTTAAACACATTGCAACCTCTAGCTCCCCTCTTCCAAAACGAGAACATAAGCAGACTAGGAAACATATGTCGGCCTAAAAAAGGGAAATAATACCACTCCTAGGAATTCTTTAAAGGACCACTCTAGGCACCCAGACCACTTCAGCTTAATGAAGTAGTCTGGGTGCCAGGTCCCTCTAGGATTAACCCTGTTTTTAAATAAACATAGCAGTTTCAGAGAAACTGCTATGTTTAGAATAGGGTTAATCCAGCATCCAAAGCCTCTAGTGGCTGTCTCATTGACAGCCGCTAGAGGCGTTTGTGTGCTTCTCACTGTGAAAATCACAGTGAGAAGACGCCAGCGTCCATCGGAAAGCATTGTAAATGCTTTCCTATGAGATCGGCTGAATGCGCGTGCAGCTCCTGCCCCACATGCGCATTCAGCCAAAGAGGAGGATCGGAGGCGGAGAGGAGGAGGAGAGCTCCCCGCCCGGTGCTGGAAAAAAAAAAGTAAGTTTTAACCCCTTCCTCGCCATCCGGCCCGGCGGGACGGGGACCCTGAGGGTGGGGGCACCCTCAGGGCACTATAGTGCCAGGAAAACGAGTATGTTTTCCTGGCAGTATAGTGGTCCTTTAAAAAAAAAAAAATATTTTCTGTGTGCAAAAATTAAAAAATCTACTCAACCCAGGCAGATGCTAGTTCATTAACTTATTTTAAAAAAACAACATTTTGCTACAGCATTTTAACCCCTTAAGGTCTGAGCCAAATGTACACGTTGTGATCAAAACAAAACGTAACCAAACCTGGCATTTGCGCTATATGTCTGTCCACCCGTAATTCACTTCTTTCATATTAAATGCACCCACACTTATTATATATCATTTTATTCAGGGGAAATGGGACTTTCATTTAACATCAAATATCTAACTATGAAACATAATTTAATATGAATAAAATATAAAAGGGAGAAAATAAGAATTTTTTTTAAGTAATACGTGACATTTTAACTGTGAATGTCAAAATACTGTTTGCTTTTACTGCAATAAAATACACATTTCTATTCAGCGATGTGTCACATGTAAAGCAATACCCCCTATGTACAGGTTTTATGGTATTTTGGGAAGTTACAGGGTCAAATATAGCATGTTACATTTTTTTCACACTGAAATTCGCCAGATTGGTTACATTGCCATTGAGACCGTATGGTAGCCCAGAATTGAGAATTACCCCCATGATGGCATGCCATTTGCAAAAGCAGACAACCCAAGGTATTGCAAATGGGGTATGTCCAGCCTTTTTTAGTAGCCACTTAGTCACAAACATTAGCCCAAATTAGCGTTCAAATTTGTTTTATTTCACACACAAACAAATACAAACGCTAACTTTGGCTAGTGTTTGGGACCAAGTGGCTACTAAAAAAGACTGGACATATCCCATTTGCAATACCTTGGGTTGTTTACTATTACAAATGGTATGCCATCATGGGGGTAATTTGCATTCCTGGGCTACCACACAGTCTCAAAGGCAACGTAACCAATCTGGCGAATTTTAATGTGAAAAAACTGAAACGCAAGCCTTATATATTTTACTCTGTAACTTTTGAAAACACCTGGTACTGTTATACTCGGGAGACTTCGCTGAACAACATATTTGTGTTTCAAAACAGTAAAAAGTATCACAGCAATAATATCGTCAGTAAGTGACGTTTGTGTGTGAAAAATGCAAAAAACTTCACTTTCACTGACTATATCATTGTTGTAATACATTTTACTGTACCGAGTAAAACAGTACCCCCCATGTACAGGTTTTATGGTGTCTTGGAAAGTTATAGGGTTAAATATAGTGCTAGCAAATTAAATTCCCTATACTTTCGGCATTGGTTGTCAGGCAGGTCCCGCAAATTGTAATTAATAAAATGGCCTAATTATGTAAAAATGTTACATATATACATATAATTTTTTAAAATTATATATAGATATTATATATAGAGAAGGAATAAGAGATGCACTCTTAGGACTTTACAATAACTCCTTACGTATTTATTAAAACAAAAGTTACATCATACGATCGACGTTTCGACCCTACAGGGTCTTCCTCAAGGGGATAATTCCATCAGCGCTGTGTTAATAGAGCAGTATTTCCTGCTCTATTTTTGTGAGTATTATTTTATTTCTTCTTGTTCCTACTGAGAGCACTATCTGCTGTTTCCTATACCTTTGAGATTCGACGGAACCTAAGTTGGACAGACGGACCTACCATCTAAGTATATCCTGAAGTGGGGATTATACCACTGAGTGCCTTTTATCTCAGAGCTGGTCATAGCTCCATCAAATGTGAGTTCTAAATCCTGATTCTGATTTAATTTTTATCGTTGGAATTGCAATACTTCACTATCGGCAGTTCTCTTTGTGTTTCTTATTTCCACATAAACGGACACTTTTCACCCGGACGGAACCATCTCCGAGGACTGTAATCACACCTGATATCAGTGAGACTGTTTTTTACTTCATTTTATCCCATTTGGAATTTCTCTACTTTTTATCTATTTTTATTGATAACCTGAACGGACATTATTACCATATTCATTTTTATTTTCATATATATTTTAACTTGAAATAATCCACCAGTTTTTAGTATTTGTAAATACATGTCTTATATTTATTGACTTCTGGTATATTATCCAACAGCGCAGCCCTCAACTCCTCTATTTATGTATATAATTAATACAATGTTAAACAAAAATCTGCACACCAGTCAAGCCATAAGACTTGCTTTTCCCACAGAAACTGCAGCGCTGTTACAACCGCAAAGGATTCTGGGTGGGCATATGCAAATTAGTTTAACAAACATCACATTTTTGCCTCATTCCATCTTAAACATGGATTCCTTTTAATCTGTGTTTGCTGTATGCAACAGCTTGAAACACAATATAGAAAAAGATGCACAACCAGTGAACCACTCATGGACAGCTGTTTCGTTGTTAATGCAACTCATCAGCATGAGGTTGGTTACTGGTTTGCTTATTAAGGCTTGGTAGAGTTTGGGAAGCAAAATCCAAATAGGTTATGGTGGGGAAAAATTTTGATTGAAAACCCCTTCCACCTGAAGTCTGTGTATATAGATATATATATTATTTTGTTCTACGTGTACTTTGATATCTATATATATTAATATCACAATACAGTTAGAACAAAATAACACATTTTTTTTTTTTATTATTATATATAAATATATATATATATATTCAACATCATTCTACATGCATTATAATAATATATTAAAATACACTTAGTGTATGTGTGTGTGTGTGTGTATGTGTATATATATATATATATATATATATATATATATATATATATATATATATATATGATCTAAATATATATTTAATTTTTAACTGTTGATTTTTTATTTTCCATTTTACAGCCAGCAGGGGGACTGCCTGTCATTCCGTGATGTCCTCGGGATCACATGACCCAGGAGGGCCGGATCGGAAGCAGAGGGACTCCATGGGATGCCAGGTGAGTTCCCCCACCGCAATCGACCAGGTAAGTAGATAGCACGGCGGGGGCGTTCTATGCCGCCCGCTGGCGTTTAGGACCAGGTCCCCAAGGACGGCATAGAATGCCCGCCGTCCTTAAGGGGTTAAAAGCCACGGTAGCACCAGTATTAGCTGAGGAATCCTCATCCATATTTTGGTCTCTACATATGGTTCTGCAAAGCATAGAATTATAAAATTTGATATGTACGAGTGACAAAAACACATGTACGCGAGCACACACACAAACACACAGTCATTTACCACTAGCATGTGTCAAAAGATAAACTACAAAAAATAATTATCTTTTGACCAGAATCTATTAAAACATAAAACTAAAATGATGCAGAATAGTGTGGTATGTTTCCCATAATGTGCTAATCAGCCAAACCAACCTCTTCCTTCTTGCTGGTTATCACTGCAAATACTTTGGTTTGGTTATCAGTTTCTTGAGACAGACGGTAATGGCCAAACAGCACTGCATCAGCTCTACATGGGAGGGGAATAAAACCAAAACATCTATTTTGTTACAGAGAGCAGCAGACTAGAAGCAAATGTGTAACATATGAGAGCATCAGGGCATCAAGTATATCATGACAAAAAAAAAAAATTACAAAAAATTAAATCCATAGGTTTTATGCTCAGTTGTGCCTGATCTTTAACGCAATGACTGAATGTCTGCCTTAACATTCATATATGATAATGAGCAGAATTTTTGTAATTGTGCATTTTAAATTAAGCCTAATAAATTTTACATATTGTGACTGGATTATAATATTACACAACAGCACCATTTAATACAATTTCCATGAGTTCTGCTAAAATGAGCACACCAAGATTGCAAGATCTAATAAATGTGTATTTTTCACGATACATGAGCATTTACTAATCTTAAATCTTGAGGGTGTGCTAAATTTGTATTGATGTTAACCCGAGAGAGACATAGCTATAAATTAAAAGTATCTTTACCAAATGAGGTCTACAACTGGTGAAACTGTATACATGGGGTAAGTGAACTCCTTTATGCCTATGAGCAAGTAATTATTAGTTGATCACAATATAGTGTCCTTTGAAATAAACAAAATAACAAAAGCACATAGGGTATACTAAAACATATAATTTTAAAAAGGCCAATTTCATTAAGGGAAGCTTTACAATATATTCACTGGCATAAACTCTTTAGTGAAAAGAACACTGAGGATAAATGGAACATCTTCCAACAAATATTAGAAAGGTACATTTCTCAGCATGTACCATTGGGTAATAAATATAAAAGAAACAAATTAAAACCAATGTGGCTTAGAAGAGAAGTAAAACAAGAGATTAAAAATAAGAAAAGGGCATTTAAAGCATTTAAATCGGACAAATCAGATGCATCTTATAAAAGATATAAGGAAGCAAATAATGCATGCAAAAAGGCAATTAGACTTGCTAAACTTCAAAATGAAAAAAATTATAGCTAAAGAGAGCAAAACCAACCCCAAAGCATTTTTTAAGTACATAAATTCTAAAAAAAAACTAAAATGAAAGTGTAGGTACACTAAAAACTGAAACGGGGGTGTTAGTTAATGAAGACCAGGAAAAGGCAGAAATTTTAAATAACTATTTCTCCTCCGTATATATTAAGGAAGAACCCATGGCAATAGATGTGCAAATGATTGCTACTAAAAACTTGCAGAATAATTGTAATTGGTTAACTCAAGACAAGGTGCTGCAGCAACTAAAGAAAGTTAATATAAACAAAACTCCAGGGCCTGACGGTATCAATCCACATGTATTCCTGACACTAGCAAAAATACAGTTTAGGTTCCTAGCTTCCCTCTGCTTACTTTAAAAAGATGTTTTACTCACTTTCCCAGCGACGCGTCAGCCTCGATGTGGCCAGCCCCACCCAGCTCTGTCTTCTTGGCCGAGATCAAACATGACAATCTCAGCCAATCCAATGCTTTCCCATAAGAAAATATTCGGAGGCTAATACTCGTGTGCAGCAAAACGCTGTGCTGCACAATGAGCATCTCCTCATAGATCTACTGAATCAATGCATCTCTATGGGGAGTGTTCAGCGTTTAGACACTGAACGTCAGTGCTTTACACTTTGCAGCAGTGACCCAGGAAGCACCTCTAGTGGCTGTTTGAGTGAATAGAGATGCCGCTAGAGATGTTCTGAAGCAGTAATGTAAACAATGCCTTTTCTCTGGATTAAAAAGTCTGCAGAGACAATCTGTAGACACCATAACAAGTACATTAAGCTGTATTTGTTCTGGTGACTATAGTGTCCCTTTAAGTTATATAAATTTGAGGTATCCATTGATGTATTTGGCATGGCGATACAACATGCCAAACAGAAGGAATCATTACAATACCTTGCATTTTTAGTTCGCAAACGAGGTACAATTGCTTGGGGCTCCTCTGGAGTGGTAAGCATCATTATGTAACCATCAGAAAAGAATCTTATATACCTAAAAATATAAAGATAAACATTATTGAAGTACTTTTAAATAGATGAGTAGTTTAGGATATGTAAATTCACTCTAAATAGACCAATACAACCTCAAATCACATTTCACTTTGAAGTAACAACACTCATTCTAAATTATGATTTTTGTAAAGGAACAAACAAAAACAAAAAACACCTGACCACGTACATTGGTGTGTACCTCCTACTCTCTAATGAAACTTACAAGGTCAGTTACTAAAATGAGTATTGCAAGGAATTCACAGTAAATTTTAAAATATAGGCCTAACAATTTGAAATTCACTTTGGATTTCTGGCCACTTAATTTAGAGAAAAACCCTGTTATACTTTGCAGCATAGTGCAAAAAAAATGTAAGAGAGGTTAACTTCAAGAAACAATCATATCTAAAAAATACAAGCTAGGGAAAAAAAACCTAATAATCAGCATCTGTAAAATACATGTGACAATAGTATCAATGACACTAAGAAAAACTTTTTTTTTTAAAATGGCATGATTAGTTCTGGTACAAGTGACTTACTATGAATTTGTACATTTTAAACATGTGCAATAAAAAAATAAAGCACTTATACACACTATAACCTTTTCTTTTTTAATAAAAGGGTAGTTTACTACTGCTTTAAAATCGAACAATGGCCTTCATTTAATATTTTTGGATAAGCTTTCGAAATGATTTAATATCTTTGAAAAAAAAACTTAAAATGCTTTTTCAACATATTTAAAATATATCATACAAACATATCAATATATCACAATTAAAATATTTTGATACTATGAAGTCATTTTGTTATACAAAAATATTAAAGGAACACTATTGGGTCAGAAACACAAACATGTATTTCTGACCCTATAGTGCTAAACCCACCATTTAGGTGGCTTGCCCTCCCCAGTCCCGTTAAAAGGAATTAAACCTCACCTTATTTCCAGCGACGTGCGGGTCCACTGGCACTGGCTCTGCCTCCTTGGTGACATCAGAATTGCAGATTTTTATCCAATGCTTTCCCAATTGCATAAAATCGGCAAGGGGTGGGGCCAAATGCTGTTTTGGCCAATCAGCACCTCCTCATAGAGATGCATTGAATCAGTTGAGGAAAATTCAGCATCCCCATGTAGAGTGTGGAGACGTTGAACGGCATGGCTGCCTACTGTGCATCACTAAGCCTGGAAGCACCTATAGTGGCCATCCGAGGAGTGGCCACTTGGTGGTGTCCCTAGGGGCAATGTAAACCCTGCCTTTTCCTACTGTGCAGCACTGAGCCAGGTAGCACCTGCAGTGGCCATCTGAGGAGTGGCCACTTGGAGGTGTCCCTAGGGGCAATGTAAACCCTGCCTTTTCTCTGAAAAGGCAGTGTTTGCATGAAAATGCCTGAAGGCAATGATTATACTTACCAGAATAACTACATTTAGCTACAGTTGTTCTGGTGACTATATAGTGTCCCTTTAAACCATTTGGAAAGCTTGTCCAACGATACTGAATTGAGGACATTGTTAGCAAAAAGAGACCTAAGGTAATAACACATTAACTTTTTGAATGTGGTGTAGACAAAAATAAGTAAACCTGTAATATTCCACTTGGTGCCAAGCCCTGTAAAATCCATCCAAAGATTGCTCTCCCTGGCGTATATATGTGGTCTTGCTGATATAGACACCTGAAATAAATGCAGTTTGCATGTGTTATTGCTGTTTTACAGTGAGTAGTGAAATTGTTTCTATACAGGATTGACACTTACTACCAGAAAAGACATATCAATTTCTAGCATATTTGGCCAAAACTCATTGGCAGAATCAGCTGAGGTTCTCACTCAACAAACACTGTCTAAGCAAAGACAGAATTGACATCACTAACACAGAAGTAAGAACTTCCACATCAGTGCGACTACAAACTTGATTACATTTAAGACTCCTGGCGCTGTAACCACAACCATACTCTGTAGTATTTATGGTTCTTAGATTACCAATTCAAGCAACAAAACAGACTGATATTTTGTGATTTCTGGAAAACTGAAATAGCAAGTTTTAGATCAATCTAGCCAAACTATAAAGTGTGTTTAAGTTATTCCATAAATGTAAAGGAACACAATAGTGTTAAGAATACAAACATTTATTCCTAAAACTATAGTGCTGGAATACAGATTTAGGTTCCCAGCCACACTATGTGGAGATAAAAGCTTTTAAAGTTACCTTTTATCCACAGTTCTGCTGGTCTCATCCTGCCTCCATGGCTGGGATCATCAATCTTGATGATCTCAGCCAATCCAATGCTTACCCACAGGAAAGCATTGGGAGCCTATTGTGCATGCGCAGCAAAATACTGTGCTGCGTCAATCAGCATCACGTCATAGAGATGCACTAAATCTGTGCATCATTATAGGGAACGTTAGTGCCTAATGCATTCAAGATTGTATTACTTGAGAAATAATTCACTAGACTCAAATAAATACCAAAATGAAAAAAAAAAAAAAAAAGAAGTACAAGAACTGATGAAAAATGATTACGCCATGCTATGGAGGATGGTTACCTTGTCCACATATAGACACATACCATCAAATCGAACACGTGGTCTTTCTAGGAACATCTGTCTCCATGTAGTGTAAGGGACCAGCTTCACACAGCTTCTTCCCCATATCTTAAGACATGCCCGGCGCCAAATCTCAGGATCCCTGAACATGAAAAACTTTTTTAAAAGGCCTGAATTTAAAAATAAATAAATGCAAAAAATATGAAAATGACATTATTCAAAGATAACATAACGTGTATTATGAAAAATTGAAAATAGCTTAATTTACTTTGTTTTTGCATTGTTTTGGATCAACAGCATAAAGGAATAGGTTTTAAAGGTTGAACTTGAAGGACTTTAGTCTTTTTCCAACCTAGATTACTATGTAACTATGACAGATTTACTATCACGGATAATTAAAAATGTGATTGTATTAAAATTATTTTCAACAAGAGAAAGATAAATGTAATCTTATCATAAATCGCTATAATAAAGATGCTATGCTAAATTACTTAGACAAACTGGTACTTTAAATGTTTGATTAACTAAAATGTCAGGATGCTTGATTGTATGGGGTTAGTTATGCGATAAAATTAACAGGACGATAAAAAAAAAAAAAAAAAGTCCTAAAAGAGCTTAGAATAATGCATTGTATGTCTCAGTCTCCCTCCAGCCTCCCAATTCTACATGAGTAAATAATGAAAAGTACATTATGTAAGTTACAAAACTAACATTCTAATAATGTGGCTGTTTTACAGAAAAGGAGTCGGACACAGATATTGGTTATTATGAAGAAGGGTGATGAAAATTCAATTGAAAAGTTCAAATCTTGAGAGGAATACCTTGCACAAATATAAAAACCTTTGCAGACCAAAGATAGCTGCTCTAATGATCTGAGATCAAGATCACTTGAAACCACCCAACGGAAAATATACATCAGCACCTCCATTGGGAGCGCTAAAAACAAACAAAAAAAACACATCAATGTAGTAATTCATAAACTATAAGCAAAATGTACAGTAACATGTTATAATCTTTTTATGAATGGTTACTTCATTATTCACATCTACTTGGCCAAATTTGCAGTACACACCAACTTCTTGGTAATATATTAATACTTTGTCTGGATGTTTGATGACACATGCTTCTAAGGCATTTAAAGGAACTAAACTGCATTCCAAACACTATGGCTGTGTCACATCCGCTGGAGGTGGATTTCAGCTTACAATGTAAACATTGCAGTTTCTAAAACAAAAACACAATATTTTACACTAAAGGGTTAAAACTAAAGGACCGCTGCACTCAGGACACTTCTTTGAGATGAAGTGACCTGGGTGACTTTAGTGGACCTTAAAGTTATATAACAGGTTCACATTTAAAGATAGCAGGTCCTAAAAAATATGCCAGAATATATAGATGAACTTTTGAGGACTTTTATTTTATATAAAGTAGTGCATACCATGACAGGTGCCTTAGAAACTGCCATATCCAAGAATGGAGAAATTGAGTCGGAAAGGTGATCAGTCTGATAACTGCTAACTTTGGATATTCAATGAGTAGTTTCAAAAACGCACTTTTGAACAACTGAAGACTTAAACCAACCTCGGAAAGTCTTGCCTGCAGGAACCCTAAAAACCAAAAGCATAACCACCTTCCTTGAGCAGTTCTGATTTCATTCAAGGAATTCCCATGGAATAAACTGGGTATTAAACTTGGGAAATTATAAGTGGCATGACTTGTACAGGTGGTCCCTGACTGTCCTTCATACCAAGGAAATCACCATACCTGAAATATGAGTCTGACTGAAATCATAGTCTGGCTGACAAAGTTTGAGGGTGGATTCTTGAAATGTCAGCTGCTGCTGGAAATAAGATAACAGGTCAGCCATCTTACTGTCATCATTTGCATCTTCAATGCTGTAAAGAGAAAGGCAAAAGTATTAAAAAAAAAAAAAAAAAAAAATACTGCCTACAAGTGAAGCACCACTGCTGACATTTCTAAGTTAACTTTCAACTTCTGTTTTACAAATCCTCACTAGTGTAAACGCACACACTGTGTATTCATTCATTAATTCATATTACACACCTACAGGAACACTCTTTTCACTAACAGATTTAACTAGTTACTTCGAAGGAGGTCTTCATGGCTTAACCCCCTCTGTACCCAATGCACTGAAACGGCAATACAGCAAACTGATATCTGGCTGTTAGGTTTTATTCTCAATAAGGAAATGTAAGCATCGATAACTATCGGCAATCTATCGTACTTATCAAACATACCATCAGGGATTAGCCTTCTTATCTCCTCGACTTCAGGGTTTCCGGTAAAGTCTCGTGTAATGTCACCAGGAATCCCAGCTACATGCCCATCACACCTATCTCTTTACTAGCCGACTGTGTTGGAACCTCCGGAATGTTGCAATGTCCGGAACTCCGTCCCCCGTGACGTTGCAGGCCTGTGCGTGTTCGGCCTCCCCCCTCCTTTCTCCTCCCTCCCCTCTCTCCATCCAATTCCGTAAGGTAAACGCCCAACAATCCATCAACTCGGACCCCCCTCCACACGTCATAATTTCGCCTCCTTATCATAACCAAGCCCCAAAGAAAAAAAAGTTTGTCTGCAGGTAGTAATGCCTAGTCTGAGTGTCAGCTCTCCACCTAACCCTGCAGCACAGGCTGTAAACACAGCAAAACTCAGTGTGCATGGCGCTGTACAAGGATCAATCCATCGACACTCCGTGTGCACGGCGCTGTACATGTATCAATCCAACGACACTCCGTGTGCACTGTGCTGTACATGTATCAACCCATCAACACTCAGTGTGCACTGCGCTGTACATGTATCAATCCATCAACACTCTGTGTGCACGGCGCTGTACACGTACCAATCCATCGACACTCTGTGTGCACGGCGCTGTACATGTATCAATCCATCAACACTCCGTGTGCACGGCGCCGTACATGTATCAATCCATCAACACTCAGTGTGCACTGCGCTGTACATGTATCAATCCATCAACACTCAGTGTGCACGGCGCTGTACATGTATCAATCCATCAACACTCAGTGTGCACTGCGCCGTACATGTATCAATCCATCAACACTCAGTGTGCACTGCGCTGTACATGTATCAATCCATCAACACTCAGTGTGCACTGCGCTGTACATGTATCAATTCATCAACACTCAGTGTGCACTGCGCTGTACATGTATCAATCCATCAACACTCAGTGTGCACGGCGCCGTACATGTATCAATCCATCAACACACTGCGCTGTAAACCTACTGTATAAATCCAGCAATACTCAGCGTGCACTGTGCTGTACATGTACTGTATGACTGGTGTTGGATCAATCACTCTGTACTGTACATTACAACAATCAATATAAACTGTACTGTACAAAACATGAATCCAGCAATTGTACTATACATGTATCCAGAACCAATAACTGTACTGCACTTTACATAAATCCAGCAAGAATAACTGTACTGTAAGGTACTGTACACGAATCCAGCAACTATACATTCCATGAATCCAGCAATCACTGTACTGTACATTGTATGAACTCAGCAATGAAGTGTACTGTATTGTACATTGCATGAATCCAGCAACAATCACAGTGTACTGACTCCCTATGCATTGCATGAATCCAGCGCACACAAACACACACAGCACATAACACAATTACTGTATATTGTGTCCGTATACATTGCATTAAAGGGACACTGTAGGCACTCAGACCACTGTAGCCCATTGAAGTGGTCTGGGTGCCAACTCCCATCATCCTTAAAGGACCACTATAGGCACCCAGACCACTTAAGCTCAATGAAGTAGTCTGAGTGCCAGGTTCCCCCTAGTTTTAACCCTGCAGCTGTAAACACAGCAGTTTCAGAGAAACTGCTATGTTTACTTTGCAGGGTTAATCAAGCCTCTAGTGGCTGTCTCCATTGAGCACACTGAACGTCCATAGGAAAGCATTGAGTAATGCTTTCATATGGGCGGTTAGAATGCGCGCACACGGCTCCACACGGCGCATACGCATCCGGCTCCACTCGGGAGCTGACGTCGGCAGGGGAGGAGAGGTCATCAGCGCCAAGGGAGCCTGGCGCTGGATAAAGTAAGTGGCTGAATGGGTTTTAACCCCTTCAGCCCAGCAGGAGGGGGGCCCTGAGGGTGGAGGGGACCTAATAACTCTATAGCGCCAGGAAAACAAGTGTGTTTTACTAGTACTATAGTGGTCCTTTAACCCTGCAAGTGTAACTATTGCAGTTTTTATAGTAGACAGCCACTAGAGGGACTTCTGGCTTCTTATATGACTTTTGGTCGTCTAAACGAGGCTGGACGTCCTCACGCTATGCAGGAGAACCTCCAGCGTCGCCGGAATCCCCATAGGAAAGCATTGAATAATGCCTTCCTACTGGGATGTCTACTGTGCACGAGCGGCCATTGCGGAGCATGGGCAGATTCAGGTAAGTGTCTTAAGGGGTTTTAACCCCTTCAGCGATGTGGGACTGGGGGCGTTCCAGGATTCTCCAGTACCAGGAAAACATGTTTGTTTTCCTGGCACTGGAGAATCCCTTTAATTCTGCACACAAATGTTAGTACAGTGCATAAAATAGAGGACAGTTAGGATAAAATTTTTGAGCACATGGGGAAGGGGGGGGATGGGGAAGAGGTACATTCCAAATCAGACATGGAGAATGTCACTGATCACAGGGACTGACTATACTCACCAGAACAACTACAATAAGCTGCAGACATTCCGAAGACTACAGTGTCCCTTTAAAGTTGGGTATTAGATTAGGGTATAGTTTAGGATTAAATTTGGTATTTGATTTATAATTAGGTTTTAGTTTAGGATTATGGATTTTGATTTGGATTAAGATTATTACTTTGTAAAGGTATACATTTGGGGTATTGTACTCAGGAGATGTTAAGTAGTACACTTAAAATAATTTTACTGCGAGCAGATAACCAGAGCAGACATCTGACAGACGAGCTCCGCTAAAATAAGCCTGAAATAAGCAATTATCCAAGTTATATTGATAATAATAATTGTAATTATCACTATACAAATTATACTAATTTCGACCCAAATCAAGCGATTACAAGATGGAGAAGAAATCTAAGCACCAGGGAACATTACAACCAGCAGGGGCCCGTGACATCGGGGACCTTTTTCTCCATCCTGCTAAGGCCTCAGGAACTCCTGCGCCAAAAGAAAATGGCGACACAACCTCGGCCTCCTCAGAAGAACCAGCGTTGGATGAGCTGGACGAGTTCCCAAACGCTGGGGGACAACACCACCCCTCCTCAGATGAGGAAAATGAACTGCCCTCCACTAAAGGAGATATAAACGTCCTTCTCCGCCATATCCGCACGATGTTTGCAGCAGACCTTGCCACAATGTGGGAGGAGATATATGCTGTGGAAGGGCGAGTTGAGACAGTAGAGGAGGACACGCAGGGCCTCACTACACGATGTATACAGATAGAAGCACAAACTGCTGAGTTACATCGAACCCAGTCCCTGCTTACCAACCGCCTAGACGCAATGGAGGATCGGCACAGGAGCCGGAATGTCAAAATACAGAGAATCCCGGAGACAGTGACCCAGGAAGAACTGACACAATATGCCAGGAGGCTCGTCACCTCACTACTTACGCCACAGCAGGCGAAACAAGCCATGATCGACGGGGTCTATCGCATCCCGAGAGCTACCAGAGCCACAGCACCAGGATGTCATACTACAGCTCCAGACAAGGTCAGCCCAACTAAACTTCATAAAGAAAAACACTATCGTGCAAATACATGCAAAAACAGTGCAAAGGTGGAGCGCTTCAAAATAAAAACACTTACTCCTGCAAATTTCAGGAGATAATGGAAATGATGGTAATGAGATCCTTTAAATCACCATATTCAATGAAGAACCTCAAAATGGAGACAAAAAATGGGAGAAACAGGGAAGCAATGCTAACCCTAGTGCAGAAATCCTTAATATGGTAGGTAGCCAGGTGAAAAAAATAACGATTTACTTCTCACCTTATCAGGAGCCTTTAACTGGGCTCCAAGTATATAAGCACATGAATTCCATACAACGAGGGTCACAATTGGGTTTATCTTTAAAATGCTGGGAGACACTATGTTTCTCGAAACCATTTTTAATATTTCTTATATGTTCTTGGATTCCATAAGAAATATTAAAAATGGTTTCGAGAAACATAGTGTCTCCCAGCATTTTAAAGATAAACACAATTGTGACCCTCGTTGTATGGAATTCATGGGAATCCAAAGAATCTCTATGAATTGGAGGCGGGGAGATCTAATGAGAAATATAGGTCAAACCGAGATGAAGTGGATTTTTAATTTAAATACAATGCAACCATATGGATTAAATGATGATTTCGAAATTTGCCATTTTTTATAATACTATTTATAGTTAATTTATTTGTACTATATATTATATACATATATACTCTAATTTTTAAATTCCAATTTTTAATTTTTAAGTAATGAGTCATCATTATGACCATATTGTGTGCATTTCCCAATTATGTTATAATATTTTTTAATGTCAATTGTTTCATACTAATATATATACCCCTCTAAATTACTGTTCCCTTTCTCCCTATTACGATTAAAACTTCGGGGATTTACTTATATTAATGGACATTTCCGAGATATTGGACAATCAGTGGATTTAATTCGGACACTCAGTAGATTTGCCTTCAAGCAAAATGGCCGCAAACACTATTGAGGACACTCAACATACTTGCCATCAAGCAAAATGGCCGCAATATCATCAAGGACTGGATAAACTGATTTGACTGAACATAACTTTTCCTCGATAAAAATGATGTCTGACAATTGTATTATCACAGTTTTCGTATGTGACGCTACAAGCACGAGTGTATGATCACAGTTTACTTCCGTATGTGACGCCACGCGCACGAGATGTCGTGCGTGATGACGTCACAGTATCGGAGATATTAGAATCAGCTGAGCCTTACATTAGGATTAACGCCGTGATTGGATGTATCACGGACGTTCCCTTCCAATCAGCCCCCCATTAGGGGGTATTTAAATCTTGTTTTAGCAGCACCATATTTACCAATTGATAAAGCCGAACAACACATCGGCGAAACGCGTCTTGGACACAGCACTGGCACTTGAGTATACATTTCATTTATTTGTTTTTAACAAGTTACAATAAATGTTTATTTCTTTTACCAAGTTGACTAGTGATATATTTATGCTGCTATCAAGAAGGGAAGTGTCACTCTATAATTGACACTGTGCTTATATACTTAAAGGCTCCTGATAAGGTGAGAAGTAAATCGTTATTTTTTTCACCTGGCTACCTACCATATTAAGTATTTCTGCACTAGGGTTAGCATTGCTTCCCTGTTTCTCCCATTTTTTGTCTCCATTTTGAGGTTCTTCATTGAATATGGTGATTTAAAGGATCTCATTACCATCATTTCCATTATCTCCTGAAATTTGCAGGAGTAAGTGTTTTTATTTTGAAGCGCTCCACCTTTGCACTGTTTTTGCATGTATTTGCACGATAGTGTTTTTCTTTATACATTTGATTGTGAGTAGGTTGAAGAGTTCCTACTTTTGGTGTGCAAGCTGCTATCACTTTATTGTGAATTGTATTATAATCCACATTTTCTAAGCGCCTTTTTACACAGCATGATTATTTTTTACAACTAAACTTCATGGCAGCAGCGCGAGGAAATTCTACTCACCCCTTCGAAAATGCTGCTCTGTCTTTTTACCAAGACCTGTCCATGCCAACATTTTATCTCATGCCGCTGGGCATTCCCCAGGAGCCTGGTCATCACGCATGGTGGTGCAACATCCTGCATAACCGATGCATGGGAAAGACTCAGTGCTGACAGCACTAGGACTTTCACCAAATTTGGATCAGACCACCCACGCACCGAGACAAAAGTCCACACACACCTGGTACATGTCCAAAGTACAACCGTTACAGCCAGCTGGACCCACCCCCTCACTCTCTACGGCATTCAAAGCGCAAAGGGCTAACTGCCACCTGAGACCCAGAAGGGAACGCATAGGAGCTGGAAAGGATTGTTCATCCAATTTACCACTAAGTTGTTTTTTTTTGTATTTGATTTTTTTCTCTGGTTTTGTGTTTCTTTGGCTCTTGCCTACTTAAGTTCTCTCTAAAAAAAAATTAAAAAAAAATGCACTAGGCAGGTTGTAAATTCAACCCTGTATTTTGACAAAATTTGACAAGCATATACAAATTCAGTACTCCGGATGCTATAGCAGAGCTAAATTTTTTGATTTTTATTACAGTAGCACATATCAAGTTTTCAAACTAAAGCACTAAATAGCTGTACATTTGAAAAATGTTTTAGCTGTAGCCTCAAGACAGACTGCTCACTGTAGCCTAATTTGCCCTCACTGAAGTTATCGAGCTTGAGAAGCATTACACATAAAACCAATTCTTATATAGTTTAACCCAGCATCAGCACAATGTGCATCATGACACAAAGTTATTATGTTCAGTTATTGAATCATGGGAATTACACAATATAAACAGTGGCATTTTTCAGAAACAGCCCTGATTTAATCTGCAAGGCTGCAAAGACAGCAAACAATAAGATTAAGTCATTCTGGGGCTTAGACTGCCCATTTAATTTATTTGATATAAGCTAAGCTTGCATTATGACATTTAACTGTCATGAAAGAAGCATAAAACACAACTACAAACATTTCATTTAAAATTAAAGTTGGTACATACAATTTTTTCCCTACTCCGTCACCATCAGGAGACATGTTATAGTTAATTTTAAACTCAATGTCTGGCACCAGCTGCATGGCTTGACGGTAAAATTTGATGGCTAAAAAAAAAAGGGAAAAAAAGGGACATATATTTAATAAATTACATAAAACTAAAATCTAAACTAATAATTTTCATTAACTTTTCTCTAGAGCACTGGAGCTTACATTCATGTCAACATTTACTTAATCAGCTAACAGGATAAAATAATTAAAGGGTTAAATATTCAAACACAATTTAGGGCATTGGAAACAATCTGTATTGGGCATTTTTTGTTTTTTTGCTACATTTTCAGTAAGTTTGCTAAACTTAGTCAAATAATACTGCACAAATATATCCACATAGCATTAACTATAGATAGACTTCCTAGCTATATTAGGCTGGAACTTAAGGGATCCCTATACCTGGTAGAGAAAAACAAAAACTCATGTTTGGGCAGAAGCACTATTAAAGAGAAATTTCTCCCATTGGCAAAAACCATATCAGGAGACAGCCTTAATATAAACACAGACAGGGTTGTTTATCAAAGAGAGAACTCTTGTTAATTCAAAGTGAATTTTAAATTTAAGGCCACAGTATCTGAAATGAAAACATCACTGGCTTAGATAATTAATAAAGTTTGGCAATTTGTAACTTAAATTTGAAATTCAATTTAAAATTCTCACTTTAGTAAATAAAGAAGCCCCAGGCACTAAGCACTGTGGCATATATGTATGGTGGCAATGAAGGAGTTAATGCGTTTTGTCTAGGACAGGGATAGTTAACCTTCGGCACTCCAGATGTTGTGGACTACATCCCCCATAATGCTGGCAAAGCATCATGGGAGGTGTAGTCCAAAACATCTGCAGTGCCAAAGGTTGCCTATGCCTGGTCTAGGATTTGAATGTAAGGTATTTTACATCTTGTGGTAGATGGTCAGTTAAACAGGTATCTGGGCAGAATTTATGACACAGCTGGCATAGGATTGGTTGAAAGTTGCAAGCAGAAACAGAGTGGGAAACTGGAACAGTAATAAAAGAAGCAGCACAAGTTTAATCCTGTCAGAGTGGACTGAAGCAGAAACGGTGCAGGCAGACCCCCCCTCTTAACTTTTATTTAATTGTATTGACGTGGTGTTATGAAGCATTGGGGCAAAAGTCATCCTCAGGGTCAAGTTCTGAGAAAGGATATGGTGGTAAATGGTTTTAACCCCTTGAGGACCGATGACGGTTCAGGACCGTCATCGGAAACATCCCCTTGAGGACTGATGACGGTTATGAACCGTCATAACGATAATCGTTACTCACCCGGTCACCGTTGTTCCCCCAGCGGTGATTGGTGTTGCTCCCTGTGTGGGGAGACTTCCTGCAGCCCAGGCAGTCTCTCGGTGGCGAATTAGGACCCCGGGGGCCATGTGATCGCTCAACAGATTGGTCACATGGCCACAACAGGTGTCCTAGTGTCTGCCTGCAGGGAGACTGCCTGTGCTGACAGGCAGTCTCCATGCAGTCTGTGCTGACAGGCAGTCTCCCTGCAAGTGTAAAATCAATAAAATAAAAAATGTTAATGTTAATAAATTATATATGTCTATATATAGTGTCATACTAAGTGTATTTTTATATTATTATATGCATATATTAATATAAAAATACACAATTAAATTACACACGTATATAATATATATATATATATATATATATATACATACACACACACATATATATATTATAAAATTCAAAAAAGTAAATAAAAATAAAAATAATAAAAATTAAAAAAATATATCTATATGAAATTTTATTCTAACTGTATTTTGATAATATATATATATATATATATATATATATATATATATATATTTATATCAAAATACATGTATACATAAATAAATCAAAATAATACGAAATATATATAGATCCATATACAAAGTTACAAAAATAATTTCATAAATATACACGTAGACTTCAAATATATAAATATGCATATATATATTTAAATTCTACATGCGTATTTATGTAATATTTTTACATAATTAAGTAATGTTATTGATTGCAATTTGAGGGACCTGCCTGACAACCTAGGCCGAAAGTCCAGAGAATTTAATTTGCTAGCACTGGATTTAACCCTGTAACTTTCTATGACACCCTAAAACCTGTACATGGGGGGTACGGTTTTACTCGGGAGACTTTTCTGAATACAAATATTAGTGTTTCAAAACAGTAAAACATATCCAAGTGTTGATACTGGCAGTGAAAGTGACATTTTATGCATTTTTCACACACAAAGGGCATTTTTACTGATGATATAATTGTTGTGATACGTTTTACTGTTTTGAAACACTAATATTTGTGTTCAACAAGGTCTACCGAGTATAATAGTACCCCCCATCTACAGGTTTTATAGCGTTTTTGAAAGTTACAGGGTCAAATACTGGACATACCCCATATTGAATACCTGGGTTGTCTACTATATGTACACGTGGGGTGTGATTCAGAGATTTATGACAGATAATAGTGTTACAATGTTACTATTGATACATTTAAAAAATATATATTATGAAACGGCAATTTCCTATTTGTACTTATAGCCCTATAACTTGCAAAAAAAAAGCACGTAAACACTGGGTGTTTTTAAACACAGGACAAAATTTTGAATCTATTTAGCAGTATTTTTCAATAGCTTTCGTAGGTAAGTAAAATATTTTTCAAGCAAAAGTCAAAAAACATGTTTTTTTTTCTTCTAATTTTCACCATATTTTATTACTTTTTTTAAAGTAAATTATATGACATGATACAAATAATGGTATGTAAAGAAAGCCCCTTTTTTCCTGAAAAATACAATATATAACTTGTATGGGAACAGTAAATGAGAGAGAGGAAACTTACAGCTAAACACAAACACCACAAAAGTGTTATAAGAGCCCCGGTCCTCAACGTACAACATGGCCAAAACAGGCCGGTCCTGAAGGGGTTAAATAAAAGGCGGTCAGATTAGTTATGACTGACTGGCTATTTGGTGGTTGATAAAGTTAAAAGTTTTAAAAATTGGTGAACCACATGTTATATGGTTACACAGTTATGGTTGTATGCCCCTTGAGCTTTGAATAAACACCACAGCCAAGCCCATTGAAAAGTAATTAAAACGTTGTCTGTGGTTATTGTGTGTCTCGTTTTATTTATACGAATATTGCCTACCATGCATATAGACTGATAAGAATGAAGAAAGGAATGTTACTTTGAGAGCAGCCTACCCTCCCTTATGCCAGGCTATGCCAAAAAGATCTTGGAATACCTATACCAAAGTCATTACACTTTGGTTACCTGACAAGTGTACTTTTAAGCATTGAAACACATGCTGGACCATGTTTTTTTATAATGTATTTTAAAGGTGATCACTTTAGTCATAAAGAAGTTGCGAGTTGTTGATCAATTAGAACAGATTAAATAATACCTTCATAGAGTGCTCCATTTTGTTCTTCCTCTGCAGCTTTAAGAAAAAGTTCTCTTGCCTGTACAGGACAAAATATACATTAAAAATATATATTTCATTGGGATAAATATGGCAATTACAGTGATAGTCTAAAGAAGTCCATATTGACTTTTTAAGAGACTAAAAAGGTATACAGTTGCAAGAAAAAGTATGTGAACCCTTTGGAATGATATGGATTTCTGCACAAATTGGTCATAAAATGTGATCTGATCATCATCTAAGTCACAACAATAGACAATCACAGTCTGCTTAAACTAATAACACACAAAGAATGAAATGTTGCCATGTTTTTATTGAACACACCATGTAAACATTCACAGTGCAGGTGGAAAAAGTATGTGAACCCCTAGACTAATGACATCTCCAAGAGCTAATTGGAGTGAGATGTCAGCCAACTGGAGTCCAATCAATGAGATGAGATTGGAGGTGTTGGTTACAGCTGCCCTGTCCTATAAAAAACACACACCAGTTCTGGGTTTGCTTTTCACAAGAAGCACTGCCTGATGTGAATGATGCCTCGCACAAAAGAGCTCTCAGAAGACCTACGATTAAGAATTGTTGACTTGCATAAAGCTGGAAAGAGTTATAAAAGTATCTCCAAAAGCCTTGCTGTTCATCAGTCCACGGTAAGACAAATTGTCTACAAATGGAAAAAGTTCAGCACTGCTGCTACTCTCCCTAGGAGTGGCTGTTCTGTAAAGATGACTGCAAGAACACAGCGCAGACTGCTCAATGAGGTGAAGAAGAATCCTAGAGTGTCAGCTAAAGACTTACAAAAGTCACTGGCAAATGCCAACATCCCTGTTAGCGAATCTACAATACGTAAAACACTAAAAAAAGAATGGATTTCATGGGAGGATACCACAGAGGAAGCCACTGCTGTCCAAACAAAACATTGCTGCATGTTTACAGTTTGCACAAGAGCACCTGGATGTTCCACAACAGTACTGGCAAAATATTCTGTGGACAGATGAAACCAAAGTTGAGTTGTTTGGAAGAAACACACAACACTATGTGTGGTGAAAAAAAGGCACAGCACACCAACATCAAAACCTCATCCCAACTGTGAAGTATGGTGGTGGGGGCATTATGGTTTGGGGCTGCTTTGCTGCGTCAGGGCCTGGACGGATTGCTATCATCGAAGGAAAAATGAATTCCCAAGTTAATCAAGACATTTTGCAGAAGATCTTAAGGCCATCTGTCTACCAGCTGAAGCTCAAGAGAAGATGGGTGTTGCAACAGGACAATGACCCAAAGCATAGAAGTAAATCAACAACAGAATGGCTTAAACAGAAGAAAATAGGCCTTCTGAAGTGGCCCAGTCAGAGTCCTGACCTCAATCCGATTGAGATGCTGTGGCATGACCTCAAGAAAGCGATTCACACCAGACATCCCAAGAATATTGCTGAACTGAAACAGTTCTGTAAAGAGGAATGGTTAAGAATTACTCCTGACCATTGTGCATGTCTGATCTGTAACTACAGGAAACCTTTGGTTGAAGTTATTGCTGCCAAAGGAGGTTCAACCAGTTATTAAATCCAAGGGTTCACATACTTTTTCCACCTGCACTGTGAATGTTTACATGGTGTGTTCAATAAAAACATGGCAACATTTTATTCTTTGTGTGTTATTAGTTTAAGCAGACCGTGATTGTCTATTGTTGTGACTTAGATGATGATCAGATCACATTTTATGACCAACCTGTGCAGAAATCCATATCATTCCAAAGGGTTCACATACTTTTTCTAGCAGCTGTATGTACATTTGATAAGTGCTCGGACTATGACTGTCTCTGTGAACCTTGGGGACATCTGGTTTTAGTCAAACCACTGAAAAATTAACTCAGAGCCAACTAGCACTATAAGCCTAACAGATTTAAAATATGTCACTATCATTTATCCCACAGTATAGGGACTAATAGGTTCAGTGAATCTGGCTCGTCCACATAACATGTTGGCTGGACTTAAAGGGAGAAAGTATGTGTTTAAATTGACACTCAATTTCTATTTTAATTATAGTGCATCAATAGATAAAAACAAATAATATGTACTGACTTCTGTTATAATGAGTGGGTTGCTGGAAACAGTATAAAACATTAACATGTATGCACTAGATAATGAAGCGTGCTGCTCACTTTCTCCTCTTTTGCCAACTCAAGCTTCACTTTGGTATCTGTAATCTTTCCCACAGTCCCTCTAGCCTTGCGGGACCCAGAATTTGCTAATCCCGAACTCAATCCGGGAGTGAGTTCAGACATCCAGCGTGCTCTGAACATTTGAAGTTCTTCCTGAAACAAAAGAACATATATTTAATTTAAATAAAATATTACCATGAGCAATGCATGCTGCAGAGATACATGGTAATGTTTGGAAGAATTAAGCCGTAAATATGACTGGCCAGTGGTAGTAACATTATGTTGATGAATTAATAGATTTTACATTTCTGTATATACTGAATAAAAATAAAGAAACATGAGCTTTAGAGAGCTACTATTCAAGAATATTTTCTTAGTATCTACTGCAAGAATGTCAAACTGTCAGAAGTAAAAGTTTCTTAAACATAAAATGGATTTGTATTTTGAACGTACATTTCTTGCACATGACTACCAGAGGTATCTAGAAAACTGGATAACAAAGGCTTAATTCTACAGTGCTCATAAATATCCTAGATAGCTCTACTGGCAAAAGCTAGAGGTTAATGAAACAAAAAAAAACATTTTTTTTAAACTAGAGACCCTCATGATGAATTACGTAAAAGATGCAAAACACTTTTCAAATAAAGGTAGATTGGGGAGTAGACTAGTCAGATTACCATCTGAGCAATGCAGAACATTCCACTTTAAATTTAGACAAATGACTATTCAATTTATTTGAAAGTAATTTAACCCCTCACTAACAAGCACTTTTTGATAGAAAAAATATTACCGTAACAAGAATTTGAAGCAAGGGATCCATAACTAGCATATAAACTTATAACTATGGCTGAAACAACGAATCAATAAAAATCATAATTTTCATTATCGATTAGTTAATCTGCCTTAATGTGAGCTTTGTTTCTCCTAGCTTTAATTTCAAGGAGACACTGTAGGAACCACACCCTACTCTGCAGGGCTGGTGGAATGGTAGGGAAAGCTTTGGATTGGTTGAGATCGCCAAGGAGGCGGGGGGGTGGCAGGGCCAAACGCCAGCCAGGCCAATCAGCATCTCCTCATGAAGACACATTGAATTAATATTGTTTGTTGCAGCTATAATCATAACACAGCAATATTGTGTATATATTGCTTTGCAGACAAATGTAAAATATAAAATTATGTAAATTAAACAATTTTTATTTTTGACTTATTCATTCAGCTTTTATAAAAACATTAAGGAAATGAAAAGCGTTATACAATATACAGTATTCTTTATCTTGCAATATTTCACACAGGGTTTGAAATACTAGCATAAAAGCAAAAATACTGTTTGTCACATACAATAGATATGACAAAAATAGATTAATAAACATGGTTAAAGCGGCACTGTCATGCCGCACTTAGCTTTCTTTAACCCCTTACGGACACATGACATGTGTGACATGTCATGATTCCCTTTTATTCCAGAAGTTTGGTCCTTAAGGGGTTAATCAATTCCTCTTCTCTCCCTCTCTCAGGATATGTTCATTTCTTCCTGTCTGGAGGAAAATAGGCTCCCCCCCATTGTTATTTATGGCCCCACCCACCACTCAGGGTTGGGGGGGCGGACAATAGTTCCCCCCATTGTTATTTATGGCCCCCACCAGCTGCTCAGGTTTTTTTTGTGTTTTTGTTTAGTAGACATGCCCCTACTCGCGGTATAGCGAGTAGGGGCATTCGGGAGATTTTAATCTCCCTTATACTATAATGGGGGTCATATTGACCCCCATAGAGTGAGAAAGGACATGGGGCGGCTTAGGAAGTGGCGGGGAGCACTGCTCCCTGCCACTTCTACCTTTACATTTTACAAGGAGGGATCTGCACGCCAGTAGCTCCCTCCTTGTAATAAAAAGAACAAACAAACACTGATATTCAGTGTTTTTGTTCATCTGACATTTCTATTCATTCATTCATCTTTCTGATGAATAAATAAATAGATGAAATTCCCGTTCGCATGTCCAAGTGTTTAACTGGGCGTGAACGGGAATCTCACAGCACTATCTAGTGTGGGCAGATGCCATGTCCCACAGGGACTTCATTTACCCATACAAAGATGGCGACGTCCTGAACCTAGGTTGGGGCAGAAAATAAAGTAAAAAAATAGGTAAGATGGGGAACTTAGGGGCATTTGGGGGTGACTAGGGGGTCCACTTTAAATATCTTGCCCATAAGTATTTGTAAGGACCCTGAAGGCATTACTAGCAATGCAGCTTACTAAAAATGGCAACAGAATGTAAAAAGAATGTCTGCAATTCAGCAAAAAGCACACATACAGCAAATATAGTTAAATCATACATTTCTTAAATAAATATATTTATAACGAATTGCTTTAATCCCTGGAATGCTAACAGTGAAATGGTAGAGTTCATTCACTCTTCCCGTTTTTCTGACTGTATGAATAAAATTACTCATTGTTTGCAATTACTGCACTGTAAGCATGCATGGGTTTAGCTTACATTATCAACACATATATTTACACCTTACTTTTTCTATATGTATATGATTTAATCCAGATACATTCTTAGAATTGTGTGTGTGTATTACAATTATTGTGTTATTTGTTTTTATCTGTTTCATTTCATTTTGTTAAAAGAAAAGAAAACAAAAAAACAAAAACACTTTTTCAATAAAAAATATTTTTGCCTTATGTGTTTTGTATGTTTTACAATCAGGAGGGGACGACGACGTTAAAGGAACACTATAGTCAACTAAATTACTTTAGCTAAATAAAGCAGTTTTATTGTATAGATCATTCCCCTGCAATCATTCACTGCTCAATTCACTGTCATTTAGGAGTTAACCCCTTAACGCCGTTACGGCGTTCTATGCCGTCCCGCATTAAAAGGGCTTTAAAGCCGTTGCGGCGGCAGAGAACTCAGTAACGGCTTGCAACCCCTGGAGGTCCGGTGGACTTACCTCCGCCGCAATCTTCTTCTGGAGGGCTGCCTGAAAGCCCAGGCAGCCCTTCCCCAGCAAATGAGGCCCCCGGGGGCCATGTGATCACTCTCAAAGAGCGATCACATGGCCCCCTATAGCTGGCTGTGGATCTGCCAGCAGGGGGAATGTCTTTAACATGTTTTAAAATAAATGTATATATATATATATATATATATATATATATATACACACATATATATATATATATATATACACACACATATATATATATATATATACACACACATATATATATATATATATATACACATATATATATATATATATATATATATATATATATATGTGTTTATAATTACAATAAATAAAATAATTAAATATATTAAAACAAAATTTTATATAAATTATATATTCATATGTCATTTCATTCTAACTGTATTTTGTTATTAATATATATATATTGGTAACAAAATATATATAGAAAGTCATTCTAAGTGTATCTATATATATATAAAATACAAATAACCGCAAATATATATAGATAGATACATATAATTACATAAGTAATCTTTTAACATAATTATGTGATTTGATTAAAATTTGATTGACATGTCTGACAAAACAGGGAGAAAGTGCAGAGAATTTAATTCGCAAGCACTATATTTGACCATGTAACTCTCCAAGACACCATAAAACCTGTACACGAGGGGTACTGTTTTACTCGGGAGACTTCGCTGAACTCAAATATTAGTGTTTCAAACTGGTAAATTGTATTACAACGATGATATTTTAAGTAAAAGTGACGTTTTTTAATTTTTTACAAACGAACGGCACTTTTATGGACTATATTATTCTTGTAATATGTTTTACTGTTTTAAAACACTAATATTTGTGTTTAGTGAAGTCTCCCGAGAATAACAGTACCCCCCATGTACAGGTTTTATGGTGTTTTGGAAAGTTAGAGAGTCACAAATAAGGCTTGCATTTCATTTTTTTGACATTGAAATTTGCCAGATTGGTTATGTTGCCTTTGAGAGCGTATGGGAGCCCAGGAATGAGAATTACTCCCATGATGGCATACCATTTGCAAAAGTAGACAACTCGAGGTATTGCAAGTGGGGTATGTCCAGTCTTTCTTAGTAGCCACTTAGTCACAAACACTGGCCAAATATTAGTTTTTTGCTTTTTTCACACAAAAACAAATATGAACGCTAACTTTGGCCAGTGTTTGTGACTAAGTGGCCACTAAAAAAGACTAAACATACCCTACTTTCAATACCTTGGGTTGTCTACTTTATCAAATGGTATGCCATTATGGGGGTAATTCTCATTCCTGGGCTACCACACTGTCTCATAGGTAACATTACTAATCTGGCAATTTTCAATTTGAAAATGGAACGTTCTATATTTGACCCTGTAACTTTCCAAAACACCATAAAACCTGTTAATGGGGGGTACTGTTGTACTCGTGAGACATCGCTGCTTACAAATATGTGCATTTTTTTGCAGTAAAACCTAACAGTAATATGACATTCACAGCTAAAATGTCAGACGAAAATACAAATTTTAAAAAAATAAAATCTTATTTTCTCACATTTTTTTAAATTTTATTCACAATAAATTATGTTCCATATATGAATAGTTAATGAAAAATAAAAGCCCTGTTTCTCCTGAACAAAATGATATATAATAAGTGTGGGTGCACTTAATGTGACAGCGGTGAATTACTGTTGAACAGATATATAGCGCAAATTCCAGTTTTTGTTTACGTTTTGTTTTGATCAGAAAGTGCACTACTGACTCCGTCCTGAAGGGGTTAAATCACTTTGTTTCTGTTTATGCAGCCCTAGCCACACCTCCCCTGGCTATGATTGACAGAGCCTGCATGAAAAAAAAACGGGTTTCACTTTCAAACAGATGTATTTTATCTTAAATAATTGTATCTCAATCTCTAAATTGAACTTTAATCATATACAGGAGGCTCTTGCAGGGTCTAGCAAGCTATTAACATAGCAGGGGATAAGAAAATCTTAATTAAACAGAACTTGCAATTAAGAAAGCCTAAATAGGGCTCTCTTTACAGGAAGTGTTTATAGAAGGCTGTGCAAGTCACATGCAGGGAGGTGTGACTAGGGTTCATAAACAAAGGGATTTAACTCCTAAATGGCAGAGGATTGAGCAGTGAGGCTGCAGGGGCATGTTCTATACACCAAAACTGCTTCATTAAGCTAAAGTTGTTCAGGTGACTATAGTGTCCCTTTAAGCAATTACAAAAAAAGATATTTACTTTAATACATGGTCTATATATTATCAATATAATCTACTAAAATTACAGTGTCGCTTAAAGAAACATTATTGTACCTGAAGATTGGTTTCTCCAGGTCTTCCATTTTCATCCGTTTTCAGGATGTCAGGGTAACAATCCTCATCAGCTTCCGCCTATGAATAAGATAAATAATTTTTACTTGTGCAGGGGGTGCTCAGATACATGGGAATATCTGTTAGTAAAGTAAATAGAATTTTCTGTATTCTAAGAATCTAAGCAATGCCATAGTGTGCAAAAACAACAACTGCAGTGTTGAGAGACAAAAAGGGTAAATTAAATCCAACATAAACCCATATCTGCTTGCTTGACTTGTCCTTCCTGAAGTGAATAAATGCTGTTGATGAATGTCCAAATCAATTTTAAGAGTAAATGTGACGTCTCAGAATTTTAAATATTATCTTTATGTTTTACTTATTTAAGAAGTATGAAATTATATATATATATATATATATATATATATACACACACACACACATACACACACTGTATAAGTAACCTTCTCTAAAAATAATAAAGTTAGGTTAGTACCTCCCTCTGGGGTCATTCAAATATCATCAGCATCCCAAGGACCCTCACAATAAAATCAAGCAAAATATAAGTTTATAAAACAGGAAGAGAATTCTGTACTGCCGTTAATACAAAGGAAAAAATAATTTACATTAAGAAAAAATGTCTTATTTTTCTGTGTATGTATAGCAGAAATACACTAGGGACATAGCAAGATCCTACAAGGGTGGGTCTTTCATCACTGCTGCTTGTAACAACTTCTTCCCAAATGCCCCTTCTGCTGAATACCGAATGACTAGCCTATAACATTTGATAACGTGCTAAATTAAGACCGTGGCAGCTTTTCATATATATTCAGAAGAAGCCATTGCTTTTCTTGCCCACAAAGTAGCCATAGATCATGTTCAATGTTCTTTCATTTTGACAGGAAGTGACAAGAAGTGACTCTCCTCTAGCTTTACATGTAATCATAATGGTTTCTGTGATCCATTGAGTAATTGTGAATTTAGAGGTTGCTTTACCTGTAGAATTTCCTCTCAAGTTAAAGAGGCACTGTCCAAGGGCAGAGTCTAAAAAGTCAATTCTAACAGCCAACTGCTGCAGGGAATTTGCTGTGCCAATGGAGGATCCTGTGGTCTTGTGTGATACTCCATAGACCTCAAAGCTGTACTCTTGCACATGCGCGAGAGTACAGTGATGCCGGCTCTGAAGAGGCACTAACTGAAGTAGTCCTCTCCAAATATATCTCCACATCCAATGAATGAAGTTTAAGAGAGGAAGGCTTCTCGTATAATGAAGGAAGTATAGTAGTCTGATTTTTTTTTTTTTTTTTAAAGCCCTTAGGTCGAAAAGTAGGGCTCAGATGTAAGAAAACCGTATCCTAATTAAATACTTCATATTTTGGTGAAGAATCTCACCTACTCGCTTTACTGAAGTGATTGCAATAAGGAATGCTACTTTTTAATTAAGACTACATTTTGAGAGAAACATCTGGAAGAAGTTCAAATGGTTCTTCACATACTTAGTTAAGCAAAAGACAGATCCAATATTGGGAAGATAGTTTTGTGGTGGATGGAGCTGCCAAAGCACTTTAAACAAAAATCTCCTGATCGCTTTAAAAGATCTTCAATGTGTTGAGATGCTCATACTGCAAAATAATATTCTCTAAAAATATACAAAAAGTTGGCAAAGCAGGGTTCATAAAGTCACATCCGTCCTCATTGCATCAATATAAGTATCTATTCCCTATACACAAGTAAATATTTATTCTTTCTCTAGGCCATGACTCGAGTATTACGCTTGCAGAAATCGAGCTGTTAAAAGTCTTTAGTGTCTTCAATGTGATTCCTTTGTTTTCCAAAAGCTGTACTATGGGAGGTGGATACCCAAATTCTTCGTTCCGCCACCTCCAGAAGTTCTGAAAACCAGCTTCTGTTTGGCCAGTAGGAAATCATTGTGATTATCCATGAGACTGAATGGATTTTCCAGATTACTTTAGTATGGATTGCTACAGGGGGAAATACATATATCTGGGAAAACGTCAACTTGATTGACAGAATGTTCAGATAATCTGTGTAGTCCGTTCTTTAAAGAGAGGCAAACCTGCACACCTTTCAGTTTTTTTCCTTGTAGTTGAAATTGTTTGGGCTCAGGGATAGTCTGCTGGTCTCCATTTGTTTCTGCCAAGATCATCTACTATAATGTTGTCTATATCTTTGATATAGACAGCTGTGATTACAGATAGGTTTATTTCTGACTATTACATGATCTGCTCGCGTAGATCCAAAAGTTTTCTGCATGTTTAGCACTTCAAAGTAAAACACTACTGTTTTGCAAAAAAGGCACGGCTTACCTTGAAGAGTTAAACACACCTCTAGTAGACAGCCACTAGAGGTGCTTCCTCTGCACTGATCGAATTAAACTTGGTCATGTAACGTTACAGCTCACAGGAAAACATTGGATTTAGTGAGGTTTTTCTAGGAGAATCATGAATGTGCATCTTGGTAGCATCTTTATAGCCTGCCTCCCACTTTTCTCAAGGCATCAGAACTTATGCATTTATTACTACTTGCCGTGTTCTTGTCTCAGAATCAGCTTTCAGGTTTTTTTTTTGGTTTTTTTTTAAATACATCTGTCCTCCTCCTATGCATAGTTTAGCTTTTATTCACACTAGTAAGGTATTCTATTCCCTTAAAGCCTCTTTTCCTGTGGTAACAACTTTCTGATCATATACTTAATGAGATCATCCAAAGCAGATCCAAATAACTTATTTTCTTTGAAAGTTAATTCACAAAGGGCACTCTTACGAATCTACAGCCCATGATTTCAACCAGCTCACTCAAGTCACTAATGATAAACCCATGTTTCTCAAGGACCGCTTTATGGACTTTTGTCATCAGATAACTTCCTAACCAACCTATTTTTTAATGACCAGACTGAATCTTCATAAGAATCTCCAGACAGATTATCTTCTAGACTCTAGAAGACACCTTTTGGCTTCCCTGGGCCGCAATGAGCGCAGAAGAGTTGCCTTGGGCTGCACATAAAATCTATAACATAAATAATTTATATAAAAAAACTTTGAAGGCCCTTTCCTTGAATTTGTTTAGTAGATAATTCCTTTAGTTGTTATCCTTATGTGGGATTGCCATATTTAAGGATACCAACATATGGAGCTATTTACTAAACACATACATATGTATATACATATGCACAGGTTACCACACACAATCACAGACCCACACACAGTCACTGACCTATAACACAGTCACATACATACAACACACAGTCACTGATTTATACACACAATCACAGACCCACACATGCACATATAATCACAGACCTATACACATACACACAATCACAGACCAAACACACCTATACAACAACCACACACAATCAAAGACCTATACACATACAATCAGACCCACACACAATCACAGACCCAAACACATAATCATTGACTTACACACACACACAATCACTGCCAAAAAAAATATACCTAAGAAGTCCAATTAGTGCTCTGCTTTGGTAAGCTGCTGTTTGAAATATCCTTCTGTAAGAGGTTTCTGACCTTTTATCCATCAAAACATTAAAGCCCCCCACCCCTTCGCTAAAATGTTAATGCAGTTAAAAGATATAGTAAGATAAAGTGGAAACACTAACATGGGCTCCTAGCAGATGAAGTGCCAGGATCTGAAAAGGACCAAGCAAATGAAGATGGTGGATGCCACCCTGGACAGGCTTAGGTCAGTTAAACTCATCTTCCTCTGCACCCCACAGCCACCAGACACAGAGCAAATCAACAAAATATGCAGTTTCCAGACAGTGACAGGACCACTATAAGGCCTTGCTACTTTCCATTCTCTTTTCAAGCTCCACAAATGTATCTTGGTATTGAAAACCTTTTCCTTTCTTATCTTTTATTTTATTCTCCTCCATCCTTTCATAATACATAAAAAAAATCAGTCAAATTAAGCTTAAAGAGATACTATAGTGCCAGGAATAACTGTATTCCTGGCACGATTGCTCCCTCTTCCTCCCCAACCTTACCCCACCCTCAAATTGAAGGGCTAAAAATACTTTATTTACGTTGCTGATTTTCCTCGGCGCTGGGTTGCAGCTCCGCCTTCTCAAACGTAACCTGATGAGGGGGGCACTAATGTGCATTAATTAATGCTTTCTTTTGGTGAAATAGTTGACGCTCGATGTCCTCATGCAGAGCGTGAGGATATACAGCATCACTTAGCGGACCAAAAGTCTGGTAACATTCCGGAAGCTCCTCTAGTGGCTGTCTGGTATATTTCATTGCTGCACAAGTGCAATATGGACAGTTTTACTCCTTGAGTATCACGCCACTTTTACATTTGTGCATACTGGAGGTTAGGAAAATTATAAGCATTTTGTACTTTAGTTTAAGTCATATTGATTAAAAACATTACATTTAATATTGTACAGCGCTATGGAATTTGTTGGTGCTATAGAAATAATAATAATAATATACAGTGGGCATGAATCTCATGGAACTAAAATCGGGCACAGAAACTCCCGAACACCACTGGACTTCCATCACCGCCTGCGTTCAGTTCTATAAAAGTTAGAAGGGCACTATTCAGTGGAATCGTTCATCTGGATGAGGGGAACAAGCTCCAGGATAACAACACTGACTCTGCTCGGTAGTTTATTTGTTTTTTTAACTACCTATCAGGGGATGTAACATTCATTTTGTATGTTTTAAAGGTATTTTGGGAATTTTATAAAAATGTTTTTTTGTGTTTGGAGATAATTGAGTTTAGTATAGTGCTTGACTCTATCTCCATGGTACAGAGGAGGGATTGATCTATTAGGTGTGGGGGTGTCCTGGATCTGAGAGCCAATGTGGTTGTGTAATTGTTTTTACTGTGGTTTACTCTCAGGTCCAAGGGGGAGTGCCCCGTGCATGGGGACTTGCATACAAGGCAAGTTGTGGCTCCCATTAAATGAGTTCTGTTTCTGGCTGTGGATCATTTCTGGCAATGGCTTCTGGTATCTGGTACTCTTTTTACAATTCTTGTTTAGTTTTTCTTGGTTTTTCTGGTTCTCAATTCCAATGTCTGGTTTACTTTATGCTGGGTTTTCTGGGTTCATTCCTTTATTCCGTTCCTGGAATTCCCAGTCTCTTGGATTCCTTTTAATGTTTGGTTCTTGTTGCCACACCCGTTTCTTTCCCATTAATCCTTTTTTGTTTCAGTCTGGACCTGCAAGCAGTGGTTTCATTACTTCTGCTCCTTTCTTTGCAGGTAAGTGCTGTGTGTGTTTTATTATTGTTTATTTAGGCATGCATATCTAGGCAGTTAGGATCCATCATAATTGGAGTACTTTGGCACAGTGGTGGGCTGCATACATCTTGGCCATTTATGTAGGTCTAAATCTCCAATGTTTATTGCACATATTAGTACTTCGTTATTTCTCCTTGTTTTGCCTTGTATTTCTTGTCTTGTTTTCTTTTGTCTTGTATTCCCAGATTATGTACAGTCCTGTCCTGTTCATGTTTCCTTTATGTATTGTGTACATGTTCTGCTTTCTGTCCTTCTCCGGTGCTGGGTTCTTCTAGTCTTGTCTTGCTATCTTCTTTAGTGCCTGTTCTAGTCTTGCCTTTTTTCTAGTACTGGATTCATATCTGCTGCAGATCCTCCCTATTCAGATCCTGGGAGGTCTGCATATTGTAATCTGGCACCTGGGATCCGCAGAAGCTGCACAGTGCCCTGGTATGTGGCTGCACAAACGCTAGTGCTCAACACCAGGGGGCGTGTGGTTACTCTGCACCAGGCCCTGATAATCCATTTCCACAAAGTGACTCCTATCAAGATCAGGCATACTGGGTCCTGGTCACCGGACCACCACCCCTGACACCTGCATAGAGTCTCATCTCATGTGTTGGGGAAATGGCTGTATCTACCCTGGGGATTGCTATATCACAATGCTCCCCTGGGTTATAATCACTAGCTCTTATAAGAGCTGTTCCTGCTTTACTCTCTGGAGTAGGAGAGGTTCACACACTGGAAGCTGGATCCTGGTATCGGTGGGTGGAGGACGGCAAGTTCCCAGCCAAGCTGCAATGCTGGACGTGGGGACTACGGTGCTGATGGTGTCTGGTGGAGGGCTGGAAGTCCTCGGTGAGCACTAGGGAGCATCGACTGGCGGAGGCACCCGGTCAGGGTGCCAGGCGTTCCGCCACAAGCATGAAGATGACAGAAGCCACACTGGACCCCAGGGAAAGGATCCACTCGAGCTCTCCCAAAGGTATGGAGGCTGGGTGGACGTAAACTGAAGTAAATGTTAATTCTGTGAATATTTTGTCTTTAACGCATACAGATGTGGTTAGCTTCTAGCCTTGCCGGCTGCAAAGGAAGGTTGATGGTCCATTCCATCTCTTGGTACGCTGCTCCCTACCCTCCTCCTTCCATTGCGTGTGATTCATTTGCACTCTATGCCTTCCGAACGCTTTTGACTGGAAGGCAGCAATGTCGGACAAGGCATAAAAACCAGCACAGAGATTCTAGCTTTATTTGAAAACTTTATTAAAAGGGACTCTCCAGTGCCAGGAAAACAGTTTCCTGGCACTGCAGGTCCCCTCTCCCTCCCACCTCCCAAACTCCGGTTGCTGAAGGAGTAAAAACCCCTTCAGTCACTTACCTGAGACCCCCGCCGATGTCCCTTGGCGGTGGTTTCGGGTCGCCGCCGCTCCTCCTCTTCATTGCGTCGGCCGGTGGGCGAGACTGATCCCACCGGCCGGAGACCTAATGCGCATGTGCGGCAATGCCGAGCATGCGCATTAGAGCTCTCCAGAGGAAAGCATTGAAAATGCTTTCCTATGGGGAATTGAGCGATGCTGGAGGTCCTCACACAGTGTGAGGACGTCCAGCAACGCTCTAGCACAGGTTTTCTGTGCTATGGACCAGTAAGTGCCCTGTAGTAGACAGCCACTCGAGGTGAAGTTAACCCTGCAAGGTAATTATTGCAGTTTTTAAAAAATTTACACTTGCAGGGTTAAGGGTAGTGGGAGTTGGCACCCAGACCACTCCAATGATATTCATGCCATTGAAATTCTGTAAATAAATAGTATCAGCATGTTACTATTACAGATAAAGAGGATAGCACAGCACACTGCAGAATATTATGCAGTCTGGGAGGCTGCCAAGTTTTACATTTCACTGGAAGAAATACCACAACCAATATATACTACCTACAAGCAGATTAGGAAGAACTATAAATATCGTAGGCCTAAAATGCCTATGATTCAGCACCAGCTGTTACATAGAGATATAAGCTTCCCTGTAGACATTTACTATTTAACAGTAAAATACATCAACTTTTAGCTCTGATGTTAATGCTTGAATAAACAATCAACGGGGTCAGGAGGTTGCTCCACTAGTAACTTATCACCCTGTCAGTGTTTGATATTTGGAGATACATATGTGCAGTTAACACGGTTCTGTAATTGTTGTTCCAGCTACAATCAACTTGTACCTATAGAAACTAGCAAATAGTGTGAAATAACTTGCCGTATCTGCTACAGAAGTTGAACACAACAAACTTTTGTTTCTATTCATGTGTAGAAAAATCTAACTAAAAGACAGTGATAATTACAGCCCAGCTTCCCAGCATGTTTTATTCTCTAATCAATACAATCAACTCTGAAAATAAAAGGATTATTTCACACGCAACTATTCAAATTAAATGTAGCAGTCCTGTTCACATGGTTTCTTTGCTATCACTTTATACGACAAAAATGTTATTAGATTTAACCACTTAAAGGGAAAATAAAGTGCTAGGAAAAACTCTTTTACCTGGCATTGAAGCTTCCCCTTCTGTCAAGGCCCACTCCTGTGGTGCAGAAGGGATTAATAACCCATTCTGTCACCTACCTGGGTCCAGCACCGATGTCCCTCAGCATTGGCTCAGCTCCACCCATGCGCCTCCCCAGCCGGTGGGGGTGACCTATTGCACATGCCCACACTGACATTAGGATATCCCAATAGGAAAGGATTCTGGCGACGCTGGAAGTCCTCATGAATAGCGTGAGGAAGTCAGCATAGTTTAGACCAAGGCCCCAACCCAGGTTAAGTCAGTATCTCCATTGGAATAGAACAGGGAAATACATAAATCCTACACTATTGGTGGTCCATTAGGACTGGGTTGGATGACCGGAGGTTCCTCTAGTGGCTGTCTGGTAGACAGCCAGTAGAGGAAGACTTAACCCTGCAAGGTAATTATTGTAGTTTTTAAAAACTGTAATAATTACATGCTCAGGTTAAGACTGATGGGAGTTAGCACCCAGACCATTTCAATGGGCTGAAGTGGTCTGGGTGCCTACAGTGTCCCTTTAAGGACCACATAATGGTCTATGACAGGGGTAGGCAACCTACGGCACTAGTGCCATGCACGGCACTCGAGGTGCCTTTGCACAGCACTCAAGGCTGCTAGAGCCAAACAGGCTCTGGCCTATCAGAAGTCCCAGTATCTGCTAATACGAAGAGATGGTGAAGGACAATCCTCAATTTCTGCATGCTCCTCTCCTTGACCTGTACCTGGCTGGCCTGTTCCCCACTGGAACCCAGGGAAGCCACCCACACTTCTAGATGTACACAGAAATGTAGACAGACCCTCCCCTCATACAAATAATACAGACAGCCCACACACAAACATACACACAATCTGTACAAACATACACACAATCTGCACAAACGCAACACCACTAACAATCCACATACATGCACACAACCCCACATGCAGCCTCTCACATGGTATACCCCAAACAGCCCCCACACATACACACACTACCAAACACACAATGTGACATATCCATCCACACACACACACAATTCCACAAGCTGCCCCCATACACAGCCCACATTCATATGTATCATACACTATACCACAATCTACTCATGAACATATACAATATAATAGCTCATATACGCAAAAATACAACGATACAAAGCAATTACAGTATAAATAACACAAGCAGAATACGGCAGCATACACACCTCAATTAAAAAAAATTAAAAATAAAAAAAAATAGGACCGGCACGCTACGGGACATCACAATCCTATATCGGCACAGTGCTGCTAAAAGGTTGCCTACCCCAGGTCTATGACATTATGCAGTGCAGGTTTTTAAAGAGACAATACTGTCACCAAAACAACTTTAGGTTACGGAAGCAGTTTGTGTGTAGATCATGCCTTTGCAGTGTCACTGCTCAGTTTTCTGCCATTTAGGAGTTAAATCACTTTTGCTTATGCAGCCCTAGTCACACCTCCCTGCATGTGACTTGCACAGCCATCCTAAACACTTCATGTAAAGAGTCATCTAATGTTTACACTTCCTTTTATTGCAAATTCTGTTTAATTTAGAATTTCATATCTCCTGCTCAGTTAATAGCTTGCTAGACTATACAGGAGCCTCCTGTATGCAATTAAAGTACAATTTCAGAGCAGGAAATACAATATTATAAAATAAGTTATATCTGGTAGAAAATGTAACCATTTTGTTTTCATACAGGATGAGTCAGTCAGTCAGCCAGGGAAGGTGTGACTAGTGCCGCATTAACAGAAACAAAAGTGACTTAAAGGACCACTCTAGGCACCCAGACTACTTCAGGTTAATGAAGTGGTCTGGGTGCCAGGTCCCTCTAAGATTAACCCTTTTTTAATAAAGATAGCAGTTTCAGAGAAACTGCTATGTTTATAATAGGGTTAATCCAGCCTCCAAATCCTCTAGTGGCTGTCTCATTGACAGCCGCTAGAGGCGCTTGCGTGATTCTCACTGTGAAAATTACAGTAAGAAGACGCAAGCGTCCATAGGAAAGCATTTTAAATGCTTTCCTATGAGACTGGCTGAATGCGCGCGCAGCTCTTGCCGCGCGTGCACATTCAGACGAAAGGGAGGAGATGAGGCGGAGAGCTCCCCGCCCGGCGCTGGAGAAAGAGGTAAGTTTTAACCCATTCCTCTCCCCAGAGCCGGGCGGGAGGGGGACCCTTAGGGTGGGGACACCCTCAGGGCACTATAGTGCCAGGAAAATGAGTATGTTTTCCTGGAACTATAGTGGTCCTTTAAGTTGCTTACAGTTTTCACTTTATAATGCTTACACGTAAATAACCATTTTAAGGTTTCTGGGGCTTAATTCTAAAACTGAAATTTGCCAAAATTTTGAACTTTAGAATTAATCACATTGCTTCATTATAATGGTCAATAAAACATCAACTATCAACATCCAGCAAAATACTAAATAATAATCTTAAGCTTTTTTGTTAAAGGGATACTGTAATCTCCAGAACAACTACATCTTACTGTAGTGGTTCTAATGTCTACTGCCTGTCCCTACAGAGAAAAGGCGGTGTTTACATTGCTGCCTAGGAACACCTCTAGTGGCAGTCACTCAAACGGCCACTAGAGATGCTTCCTATAGGGGTCCTTTAACTCCTAAATTGCAGAGAAATGCACGATTTACACAGCAAAACTGCTTCATTAAGCTAAAAGTTGTTTTGGTGACTATAGTGACCCTTTAATCTCGTTGCAGATATTAAGAAGCATTACTAAAGTATAATACAGAATGGGACATGGTAGTAATGCTTAACTTTTAAGTCTCAGCACTTGGGAGTAGAGGTTTCCAATACCTATAATCATAACTAAATTAAATACATGTTGTGCACATGTGCCAGTTCATCCTAGTATTTTTTATCATGTTTACTTGCCACTATCTTTAACAAATATTTAATTGTGAAAAATTAACTATAGTTATTGACTTGTCTTTATCATGCAGCACCTCCTGTCTTAGCTCACTGCTGGCAGTCATCATAGGAAAAAGGAGACACTAAACAATTGTTGAGATTAATTCTGCATGCTGTAATGTGTAAGAAAACACAACTAGCACAAACTGTGACATAATCTGGATTAACATGCCGGCACACCATACGGTATACACTATGCGGTATACACTATACGGTATACACCATACACTATACACCAGTGATGGCGTACCTGTGGTTCGCCGGGCCCTCTCTGTGGGCACGCGGCCGCAGGTTCACCATCAATGCAGAGTTGGCAGCTGTCTGCCCAAAATGGCAGGCACCTACTCTGCTTTCTTGTCGGCAGGACCGGAAGCAGGGGGGAGGGATCAAGGAAGCAGCTCTCCTGTCTTTAATGTACCTTCAAACCCCTCCCAACACAGCACCCCTACATCTCCCCCAAGCACAGCACCTCTACCCCTTCCCAACACAACACCCCTACCCCCCCACACACCCTTACACACAAACACATAAACTGCACCCCTCAATGCAGTATGTGTGTGTATTCAGCAGTGTATGTGTGTGTGTATTTAGGGGTCTGTCTGTGTGTCGGAGTGTGTATGTATTAAGCAGTCGGTGTGTGAATGTGTTCAGCTGTCTGTGTTATGCATTGCATTTGTTGGAGATACTAATAAATATAAGCTTCATTTTATCTATTTATATCCTTATTTAAAATTTTTATCATTGAACTCTCTGTTGTGTTCGTCTTTTAAAACAAAAGATGTTAACTAGTTATGACAACTCAAAGAATACCTCCTTTTACAGAGGAATGTGTATAACAGAGTGTTTATATACAGATACGGTGATTTCCAAGCTGCTCAATACACTTATGTGGAAGTATCCTCTATTCCACTAAACAAACTTAGAATTATTAGTGCGGTGTAAGTGACAAAAGACTTGTACCAGTAAGTGGAGCGCTTTAACACATATAGCTTACCAAATGGTTTCTCATTCAATAATAGAATATAAGGTGCATGTCGAGAAAAAAATATAAAAGATACAATATAGTGCAGACGGTTTTAAGATAATAATAAAATTATATTAAAATTAGAGTGGTGGTGTCTTGATAAATGGAACACTCACATTTTAGGGAGCCTGTATGTAAGAACACTGGCTCCGTATTTTGGCTTGTGTGCTTTTATTGGGTGCTTTTATTTATTTTTTTTTAAAGGACTTTTTACAATCATTGTTTTTACTTTTGTTTTATACTTGAATAAATGTATTACTTTTCATTTAAGATCCTTTTAAGTCCTTTTTTGGAAACCTCAAGAGTATCTTCCCAGGGGTAGTGCCATCCCCATTCAAATTGGTACAATACCCATATAACTAGAGCCGGGACCCACAGGCTCAGGACCAGGTGAGCACACCACTTATTTCTATAAATATTGCGTTTTCTAAACACCATCTACACATTGGTCTGCTTCTCCTATTTTTTGTCTTTGAGAAACACCCTAAATCAAAGGAGACGGGCGGTGCTACCCAATAAAAGCACACAAGCCAAAATACGGAGCCAGTGTTCTTACATACAGGCTCCCTAAAATGTGAGTGTTCCATTTATCAAGACACCACCACTCTAATTCAAATATCATTTTATTATCTTAAAACCGTCTGCACTATCTTGTATCTTTTATATTTTTTTTCTCGGCATGCACCTTATATTCTATTATTGAATGAGAAACCATTTGGTAAGCTATATGTGTTAAAGCGCTCCACTTACTGGTACAAGTCTTTTGTCACTTACACTGCACTAATAATTCCTAGTTATGACAACTGTTCAAGTGTTTTTTTCCTAAACTTAAACCTCAGTATTCAGGTTTAATTGCTGTGTTGGCACTTTAAGGGGGGAAAAAAAAGTTGGCATGTATTGCGGTTTGGGCACTCGGGCTCAGAAAGGTTCTCCATCACTGTCATACCCCATACCCCATACACTATACACCATACCCCATACACGGTATATGAAACGGTGTGGAGAGCCTGCTCCCACGGATGTTACAGACTGAGTGAGTGAGTGAGTGTAACGGTCACAGTGTAAGCCGAGCCCCCCCAGTGCGGGCGGACAGGCCGTCGCTTGCTCTCACGGTCACCGTGTAACGGGCTCACCATGCTGAGCGCAGTCGGCCGCTCCCGGGGTTCAGCACAGTTCTCGGTCGGAGAAGCGCAGGACGCAGCGGGAGTCAGCGCGGGACCTGCGGGCGGCGGCCATGACTGTGCTGTGCGTCCTGGGGAACCGAGGGGGGAGTACAGCGGGACCTGGAGCGCTGCACTGTGACAGGAACCGAATCGCTACAGCGGAACCATAGAGCGGGGAGGCTAGAGCGGCACCGGCCGGAACTATAGAACTCGGGAGGCTAGACTGGCACAGACAGGAAGTAGACTGAAAGAACTGCGCACTGATTGTCTATAGCGCACGGAAACAAGACGGCTGTCCTAGAGCGGCACCGGAACCAAAGAGATGAAACAACGAGAGAGCGGCGTGGCTATGTTTATGGATGTGTAGCTCGCTGGCTGTGTGTACCGGAACAAGCGAGATGGGGAAACGGGATAGACAGTGGACAGGACTCATAGAGACGAAGTTCTCTCCCATAGAGAAGTAAGGGAGAGAGCGGAACCAGTTAGAAGATAGGGAAACTTAGTCACCCAGGAGTGTCTGAGGAGGTAAGTGAGTGCTCCCCTGCAGGAGCTGATACTCTCTAACTAACTCATGGAATATAATGATAAACAAACTCCACTCACTGACCTACCAACAGGTTACACATCCCTGGGATCAATACCAGCACCCTGTCTGCCTGCCTGCCTGTCTCTATAGTATGGGGTTCATTCAATAAATAACAGTGTGGGGATTTAAAGCCCACACTGCACAACTCACACTACAATAATCCAGCTGTGACTATAGTTCAACGTGAAGGGTTTTGTTGGCTTTTTCGCAAATTTCTGTTGCTCTAAACGCTGCAGTTTGGTTCACAATTTGTATGTGTGGTGTGTCAGGATGCATATCAGAATTTGACAAATTCTTCAGTTTTTGTTTTGTTTGGATTTTCCTCCAATTGGACTGGTGGCCTAAAATGCGAAATTCTCTTGAAGGAAAAAAGACAGTTTTCTGCTTGAATAGGCATGAAAAAGTGTGTGTGTGTATGTGTGTATATATATATATATATATATATATATATATATATATATATATATCAAGTATCTTTACATGGTTAGAGAACATATCTTTTATTTTTTTTAATATTTCAATATGCAGTTTTGTCAAATCAACATAGCTTTAGTAACACAAACCTGTATTTCTAACTCTGCAGAGTAATAGTAACTACTTAGAATATCAGGTGGGCTCAGGTCATCAATCCTAAAGATCTCTGCCAATTCAACAATTATTCATAGAGAAGATATTGAAACATTGGAATAATAGTGCACATGCATGGCAAATCACTGTGCTGTGTAAAAGGAACACTATAGTGTTAGAAATACAAAAATGTGTTCTTAACACTATAATGCTGGAGTATGTTTAGGTGACGATGCACCCTCAGAATGGAATGTAAAAGTTGTTTAACTTGCCTTTTCTTTATCTCCTCAGTGGTGTAGCTATGGCTGGCTGAAATAATCTTAAAGGCACACTATAGTCACCAGAACAACTACAGCTTATTTCATTTGTTCTTTTGAGTATAATCATTCCCTTCATGCTTTTTTTCTGTAAACAGAAAATGCAGTGTTTACATTACAGCCTAGGGCTTGGCCACTCCTCAGGTGGCTATTAGAGGTGATTTCTGGGGCAGTGCTGCACAGTGAACTGCACTGCCATTCATTGTTTTCACCCTCTGCATGCAGACACTGAACTTTCATAATAGATATACATTGATTCAATGCATCTCTATGAGGAGATGCTGATTGTCCAGGGCTGTGTTTGATTTGTGCTGGCTCTGCACCTGGTCTGCCTCCTTGACAGTGTCAGCCAATCCTATGGGGAAGCATTGTGATTGGCTCAAAACCACCACTTCTGATGATGTCAGAGGCAGACGGGGCAGAGCCAGCAGCTGCAGAATTGAATAGAAGTAAGATTTTACTATATTTAGGGAGGCAAGGGGGGCTAGATGGTGGTCTCATCCATGTTTGTTTGTGTTCCTGACCCTATAGTGTTCCTTAAATGATCTCAGACAATCCAGTGCTTTCCCATAGGAAAGCATTGGGAGGCTATAGCGCATGTGCAGCAAAACTCTGCGCAAATCAGCATTTCCTCATAGAGATGTATTTAATCGTTTTAAATTGTAGTGGTTCTGGTGACTATAGTGTCATTTTAATCCGCATCTCCTCGTAGAAATGCATTGACTCAACACTGCCTGTTCACTGATCAACCTCCAGATACAGGCTCTATGCCCCAGAACCATTAAATTAGGTTGTAGTGGTATTTGTGCCAATAGTGTCCTTTTAATAAAGATTACATCTGTAATTTTGTCAACGTTTTTATGTGTGGTGTACTGTACATCACAGAAATAACCTGGGACTCTCTTCCCCCAGAAAAGCGTTGACATGCAATTTGGCTCTGCCAGTATGTAGTTCTGTTTACTAAACTGTGAACCAGGCTATAGGTAAACTATAAACAACCATAGTGCTGAGTGGATTTGACCCTGCAATCACTTTTAAGGTATTTACATGCCTATTTAAAGAGACACTTGCAGTGATTGTTTCCAGTGCTGCAAGTAGCTCTTCAAAAAGACTCGGGCCACTAAAATTGGCCCCAGCAAGCTGAGGGGAACTCCAAATATCCATTGATACCTGGGGTTAGTGGTGTGAGCATGGATTTAACCCTGCTCATGATCTTTTAATACGGTTTTAAATGCTTATTTGAAGAGATGTTTGCAGAGATGGATTTCAAACCGCTAGTCTAAAAGTCTGAGGCCCATTGATACCTGGGGTTCTCTGGTGTTAGCATGGATTTAACTCTGCACACTCCAAATCTGCAAGACTTGTCATTACATTGTAATGGCATTAAACCCTTAAGGACTGGACTGTTTTTGCGATGTTGTACATTTGCGACCAGGCCTATTTTTACACTTTTCTGGTGTTTGTGTTTAGCTGTAATTTTCCGCTCCCTCATTAACTGTTCCCATACAAATTATATATTGGGGGTTTTTTTTAGGACAAAAGGGGCTTTCTTTGCATACCATTATTTATATAATCTCATGTAATTTAATTTAAAAATTTTTTTAAAAATGATGCAAAATTGAAAAAAATGCATGGTTTGTTTACTTTTACTTGTAAAATCTTTTACTCATCTACAAAAGCTAATGAAAAAAACTGCTAAATAGATTCAAAATTTTGTCCTGAGTTTAACCCCTTAAGGACCGAGGACGGTTCAGGACCGTCATCGGCATTTTTGCCTTGAGGACCGATGACGGTCCTGAACCGTCCTAACGGTCTGGGGGTACTTACCTGATCGCCGTCGTTCCCCCGGCGGCGATCAGTGTTGCTCCGGTTGTGGGGAGACTGCCTGCAGCCCAGACAGTCTCCCCACACTGATTTAGGACCCCTGTGGCCATGTGATCGCTTAACACAGCGATCACATGGTCACAATAGGTGTCCATGTGTCTGCCTGCAGGGGGACTGCCTGTGCTGACAGGCAGTCTCCCTGCATGTGTAAAATCAAAAAAAAAATAAAGTTAATGTTAATAAAAAATAAATAAATAATTATATATGTGTATATATGATATATAGACATATATTATATCTATATAATATGTCTATATATCATATATATATAATGTCATACTAAGTGTATTTTTATATTAATATGTACTTATATTAATATAAAAATACACTTATAATTAAATTACACACGTATATATATAATATATATAATAACTATATATATTGTATATATATATTATTATAAAATATAAATAATAAGTAATTTAAATTAAATAAACATTTTTTTAAATAATAATAAAAAATTAAAAAAAAATTATATAGCTATATGAAATTTTATTCTAACTATTTTAAAATTAATATATATATATTTATATCAAAATACACTTAGAATGAATTTGTATATATATCTATGTATATAAAAATAAATAAAAATAATAAGAAATATACATACGCCCATATACAAAATTACATAAATAATTATATAAATATACACGTAGACTTCAAATATATAAATATGCATATATATTTAAATTCTACGTGCGTATTTATGTAATATTTTTACATAATTCAGCAATTTTATTGATTGCAATTTGAGGGACCTGCCTGCCAACCCAGGCCGAAATTCCAGAGAATTTAATTTGCTAGCATTGTATTTTACCCTGTAACGTTCTACGACACCCTAAAACCTGTACATGGGGGGTACTGTTTTACTCGGGAGACTTCGCTGAACACAAATATTAGTGATTCAAAACAGTAAAACATATCACAGCGATGATATTGTCAGTGAAAGTGACTTTTTTTGCATTTTCACACACAAACAGCACTTTTACTGATGATATAATTGTTGTGATACGTTTTCCAGTTTTTAAACACTAATATTTGTGTTCAGCGATGTCTCCCGAGTAAAACAGTACCCCCCATGTACAGGTTTTATAGCATTTTTTGAAAGTTACAGGTCAAATATATGGGTCAAATATTTTACATTGAAATGGCCAGGTTAGTTACTTTGCCTTTGTGAGTATGGTAGCCCAGGAATGAGAATTACCCCCAGCGATGGCATACCATTTTGCAAAGGAACAACTAAGGTATTGCAAATGGGGTATGTCAGTCTTTTTAGTAACCACTTGGTCACAAACACTGGCCAAAATTAAGCGTTCAATTTAGTTTTACTTTTTTCACACACAAACAAATATGAATGCTTACTTTTGGCCAGTGTTTTCAACAAAGTGGCTACTAAAAGACTGAACTTATATATTAACTCCTGGGTTGTCTACTTTAAAAAAAATATGTACATGTGGGGTGTTATTCAGAGATTTATGACAGATAATAGTGTTACAATGTCACTATTGATAAATTTTAAAAATGTATGTTTTGAAACCGCAATATCCTACTTGTACCTATAGCCCTATAACATACAAAAAAAAAGCAAAAAAGCACGTAAACACTAGGTATTTTTAAACTCAGGACAAAATTTTGAATCTATTTAGCAGTTTTTTTCATTCGCTTTTGTAGATGAGTAAAGATTTTTCAAGTAAAAGTCAAAAAACATGTATTTTTTTCAATTTTTCATCAGATTTTTGTATTTTTTTTAAATTAAAATACATGAGATTATATAAATAATGGTATGTAAAGAAAGCC